TAATAAACTTGCTCTTATAATTGAAGTTATGCATGCTCTCAAACAGAACATACACCTCGTAGTCAAATGGCTGGGGACATTAGAGAAGCTACTGGAGGAACACAGCAGAGAAAGTCACCCCGACTACCGTGTCTTTATAAGTGCAGAACCAGCTCCAAGTCCTGAAGAACACGTCATACCTCAAGGAATATTAGAGAACAGTATTAAAATTATTAATGAGCCTCCTACTGGAATGCTGGCAAATCTTCATGCTGCTCTCTATAATTTTGACCAGGTGAGGAGAAAATGTTCACTGGTAGTTTTGCTTTATTTCTTCTTCAGAATGAGGCATTCTGGGTGAGGGGGGAGCACTTGCACTGCCTACCACATTGGGTTGTAGGGTTTAGAAATTTATTTATTTGATATAATTTATATACTGCTTGGTTGTAAAAGTGTAAGAAACACTGTTTGAATTTTAAACAAGATTTCTGAGTGTGGCATTGCAGGCGCTCTTGTCGGCCATCTTGTCACAAATGCCTTGCTCTGGGAAAGGACCCCATTTGCCCTTTCTCATGACAAAGCAGGGAGGAAGTGGCAACAAAGAAGTGACCAGTGCTGTTGCCACAAACCAGAAATCAGAAAAAAACTAATGAGGGTTGATAAGAGGAGGAATGGGGACAAGGAGCTGGGAGGAGGAACAGGCAATAAGAGGGATGGTGCAAGAATGGAGTGCCCATCTTAGGAGGTGTAGTCCTTTTTTGCTGGTCCTGTAAACTTACTTCCAGTTTTACCTTTTGCTAAGATGAAAATATTAATAGATTCTTATTGTTGCTGTTTAGTTGTCATTAATCCTAGTAAGGAAACTACAGCTGTAGTCTCTAAAGCTTGTTTTTTCCATAATCCTTTGTTTTAACAGGATACACTTGAATTGTGTACCCGAGAACAAGAGTTCAAAAGTATCTTCTTTTCCCTCTGCTACTTTCACACCTGTGTTGCTGGGAGACTCAAGTTTGGACCTCAAGGATGGAATCAAAGATACCCTTTTAACATAGGAGATCTCACCATTTGTGTCAATGTCCTCTACAACTACCTGGAAGCAAACTCTAAGGTAACACCTTGGAGACCAAGTGTCTTCTGGCCAAGATGGTGGTGATTTTTTTTTTGTTCCTTAGTTTTAGAAGTGAACAAGGGAAGGTGAAATATATATATTTTTAGTGAAATAGTTGAAATGTGTATCTGCTGTTGGGTATACAAATTGGGCAGATCAGAGGTTTTCCACAGAGGATGCTTAAATTTCATAACATAGGTTGAACCAGTTGCACACTTGGTGGGTTTACTAAAGTAAGTGAGTGAGTGAGTGAGTGAGTGAGTGAATAAATAAATAAATAAATAAGCCCTTCATTATGTTAACGAAAACAGTGCTTTACATGTGCATATATGCCAAATTCATTAGGCAGGTAATGAAGCATTTTGCACAACTGTAATTACATACAGCAGTCCTGACAGTTCATAACATTGCATTAATAATCACTACAATTAATTCTGATGATGGAAGCAATTTACAGCACGTCACATATATAAATAATGGTGTATTTCCTTCATGTGTCGTTATTATGTATTAAGGAGGCCACCTTGTTGTGACTTTCTCAGGAATGTTCCCCTTGAGTTCAAGTTTAAAGCTAGATGAATGATTTGCTCTGTTTTGAGATTGGTTGCCAATCGGAAGATGCAAAACCATTCAGGTGTTACCATTCATTAAACCAATTATTCACATATGTAGCAAAGGTAGGTTAGTACTTTCTAAGTCTAGCAAAGACTTAGTAGGTTGGTACTTGCACTTAGGCACATGCAATTTGGTTAGCAATTAAGCGATCCAGTATTCTCACTCTAGCCTGGGAATTAGTTTTGTGCTACTTGCTTACTTGCAATTGCAGTATGAATCGGAATACTGCAATTTCTAGCTTTTCCAGATTAGATAAATAAAAAAACTGGGTATCTACTGTGAATCGGTTATTTCGTGAAAATGATATTCGGTGTCATCATTTCAATAAGCGTTTTATTCTATAGTGATGCACATGGGACTTGATGCAAAACATTGCAATTTTTCCAACCTTCCCTATGAACCAGGAGGCAAGTGGGAGAATATCCTTAAATGGTTCCTAAGCTGTTGTGGTCATAAAGATGTTGGCTATTTGCAGTATGGTAGCACTGCAGAGAGCTTGCTGGGGAGACCATGCATTAAAAAGGGACTCAAAAATAACTTAAACAAGGTTTTAATTACAAAAACAAAAACTCCTTATACACTAAATACATCAACAACAAACCAGACCCAACCACCAACCCATCCCCCAGGGTAATGGGAGAGCTAGGTGCTGCTCCTTATATACTACACCCAATTGCTGACGCAGCTTAATCAATACAACTCAGCAGCACCTGCTATGTTTCACAGCTGTAAAGCTGGGTCTCGTTATTTTGCTCTGGCCCTTGCTCTGGCCCCTTAAAGATATACACATCGGGTGGAACAATGATGAACCTTTACATTTAAAGAAACCATTCAACAGAAGGTTCTCTCTCACTCTGACCAAGGCAGCCAGGCCTGGTCATCCAAACTGTTCTACCTAAAATCCCCTGAGCCAGCAGGCATATTTGGGCCTGGCCTGTCCTCTGAAGGAAAGCTAAACAAAATTATCCACCCAAAGCCCTTCCACAAGTCCAGCATGGGGAGAACACAAAGCATAATGGATAATTTTTACAGTCCTCATTTACCTTTTCCCCTTCCCCTTACATATTCTTACTTAGTAAGACATACTCAGTAACTGACAATAAGATGGGGCATTGCTGTTCACCTGACCTCTGATTAGTCATGTGAAGGCAGAGGACAAGGAAGTTGATGCAGTGCACGTTCACCAAGAGGCATGTCGGATTGTCTCCATCAGCGCCTTTGCACTGTGCTGACCTCCCTGCCGCTTCACCCCCTTTCTCTGTCTGCTAGTAAGTAGCAGCAAGGCAACTCAAGTGAGCAGCAGCATCTCCCCATGCCATCTACTGCTTCGTATCTCTGGGTTCCCTCTAGGGTAGCCACATGTAAACAGAGCTCCTGCTCCTTTAATAACTCTATAGAAGAGGGAGTTTCAGCAGGTGTGCCTTGTCAGGACAAGCAACATGCACTTCCCTCTTCTCCATAACTATTAAAGGTGTATAAGGCCTGCTCCCCCCCCCCTTTTGTTTTTTGCATCTGGCTCCCTTAGTTCCCTCCTATATTTGGAAAACTTCAGTTTGCTTGTCTGTGGTCGTATTTTGCTTCCAAATCATTGGAATGAGCCCACCAACATTACAGTTAATGACTGCAGAACTGGTTTTACAAGCACAGTCCTGTCTGTGCAGAAATTCACTGGGACTTATTGCCAGGTAAGTTGCTATAGGACTACTGTCTTAGTTTGCAATGTTGTTTAAGCAATGTATACTAGACTAGGTTTCATTTCTCATTACGATTGATCTTTGTCTGTTCCAAACCACTGCCCCTCAGTACTTTTCTCCTTTACTGCATTGTACTTCTCATGTGCCACTTTACTGCCTTTTACTTTTTTCTAATATAATATATGCATTTTAGGCAGTTACTGTATTGCAGAGTAGGGTTACAAAACATGCTACTGGAGCCTACTAAATATAGTGCAGCCTACTTCTAATGCCTAACTTTTTGCAGCCCTAATGTGGCTGGTACAAATCTTCTCTATTAAGCTTCTTTCTCTAATTACATGATCAATTTCACTTTACACATTTCCTTCTGTGTAGTTTTGCCCCCTCGGGGCATTTGCTGCTTACTTTTACAAAGGCCACGAGACCTTTGGGATGGCTGACTGCACTTTCTTCAGTCTTTTATTATTGATTTCTGAAAAGCTGGAGAACTTTGCTCTGTACTAAAGCAATCTACCTAATCCAGTAGTCTTCTGCTGGTCCAGAATAAACTCCAGCACCAGAGCCTTTCCAACTAAAGCAAGCAACTGCATGAGTAGGGATTATTTGGGGTGGGGGTAGATTGTCTGGATTAGGTGGTAATGGTATAGTAGGATTTAGTGTGCAAGGTGGCATAAAGTGTTATGGAAAACCTTGAAGGACAAAAGAAGAAATAGGATAAGTGGCCAACTGTTCATGACCTTCAAGTCTCCAGCCATTTAAAATGATAGAGAGCGTCAGCAATACTTTTTAATGTTTACAATAAAATTGAAGTGGCTACTATTAGCCCCTGCGAATTACTTTGCTAACCTGAGTTCATTTCAATGTGCAACATAGCAGCAATGAATAATTGTTTGTTCTTGAATAATGTGTCCTTGATAAATAGAGGTAAGCTTATTTTGATAATGTAGGCTAAATGTATTAGCCCTCCAATACCACATGAATATATTGTTTTAAACAAAACACATAATTCCTGATGCATTTCACCTTTAAAAACGTATAGCTTGAGATAAAGGTTTTGAAGTAATTTGTTAAAGAGACTTCTATATAAACTGATTTTCTTTTAAAATCCAGAATTCATACAGTTTTGAAATTATCTCAACACAGAATATGAATTTAATTATTTTAGAAATGTAACTTTTACGGCATTGAGCAGTGATGCTTTGACATTTTTGTCACTGTTTGGGGCCTTTTTCATCCTTCCTCTGCAAGATTTCTAATAACGTATTGAAATATAGTATTGTCTTTTTGGTCTCTGGATTGCAGAGATCTGTATGATTTGCAAAACCCTTTCCCTCCAAAACAGAAAACTCATATGCCTCTGAGAGTAGTCATACCGCCCGCAATTTGCCAGGGCCTGCATAGCTTATAAATAATACCACTGAGAACATAGGCAAAACAAAAATGAATCAGTTTTACTGAATCACAATTATTAAATAGCTGGAAAGCATCCATGTTAACTTCTGAAATTTATTTTACAAAGCATAATAAGAAAAACAAATTCTCATGTTAGTCTTGAAATTTAATAATAATAAAAATTCCTTCCAGTAGCACCTTAGAGAATAATTAAGTTTGTTATTGGTATAAGCTTTTGTGTGCATGCACACTGAAGAAGTGTGCATGCACACAAAAGCTCATACCAGTAACAAACTTAGTTGGTCTCTAAGGTGCTGCTGGAAGGAATTTTTTTATTCGTTTCGACTACGGCAGACCAGCATGGCTACCTACCTGTAACTTGAAATTTAATATGCATTTTGTATTTTATGTCCAAAGAGAATTATATATTTTGAATTCATTTCTTTTGATAGTCTAATACTGTCTGTTAATGCATTTTGATACTCATTTATTGAGACAAATTTGCATCAAGCACTCTGCAGTAGCTGAAGCTATTTTCCTTACTCTGCTCTGCCACATAATGTAAACCGTAAGACCTAAAATTAAGTTTTTTCTTGAACTCTTGGAAGGCAAAATACTGCCCCAGAGTATGTAAAAGTTCCTGTCTAGAAAGGCTTCATCATAAACTGTTAACTATTTTGTAAACCAAGGCTAGGGAGGAAACTTGCTCTTTTTTAAAACATAGCATTGACTTTTTGAGTAACACATCCTTGTCATTAATTGCAAGCTATTGGACTAGCATTATGATCCCTACAAAGAACTCTCAAGTGAGTACCTGGTGACAGAAGGAATATTTCTTGTATTTTTGCTGAAATCTGACCCTCCATCTTGAATCAAAGTAAGACATTTGTCACTCTATTTTCCCCTGAGAGGATGTTCATTACATAAAGGGTCACATAATAAAATATTTTTGTTTCACTGAGTTGTGCTGTCACATCTCACATAGTGGCCATGTCCACACATCATGCCAAACCAACCTTCCCCAATTGTGTGCCTTCCAGTAGTTTTGGATTTCTGCTTCCATCAATCCAGGCAAAATGGTGAGGGATTATCCGTTGTGTTTAGCAAGTTGAGGTTTACATGGACATGGTTTAGCAAGAAGGACTTGTAGCAAACATCTAGCTTCTCCCCTGCCATGCCTCCTCCCTCAAGGAGAACTTCAGATGCTCCAGCCACCCAACCTAGGCTCCCTTAAATTGAACTTGTTATGTTGTCCATACCAGGAATCTTGGTTGATCACTAACTGGTCGATTTCAAAACAAGCTGGTGGAAGGTGGCTTGTTGAACTAAACCAGAGTTGGGAATAAACTGCAATCCCTGGTGCTGACAATGCAACAAACCAGCTGACTTGAAGGGAAACAATTAAAAATCTCCCAAAATCTGCCTCCTGGCTGTGAGGGAGGAAGGAGAGCACAAGCTCAAGACTCACAGTTCTCTTCTGTTTGTGCACATATTGCTATACCATGGTTTGGCATACTACTCAAGCATGGTCACTGTTCTCAAAGGAATCTGCTGCTGCCACACAGCTTTCTTCTGAAACAGGAAAACAACGAAGTCTTGTAGCCACCTTAAAGACTTGACAGAATTTATTGTTGTATAAGCTTCTGCGGATTAGAGTCCACTTTCTCAGCTGAATTGTGTTACACATGGGAAGAGTGGAGAACAAAATTCTAAGCAATGGCTGCAAAATGAAAAAAAAAAAGTACAGCCAGTGACAATTCTGTGCACTTTTATGATGAGCAAGTTATAATTCCCTGCAGCAGTAGTTGATGCGACACAATCATTGTAGTTTTGCTGTCTTAATTAGCACTGGAAAAGGAAGCAATTTTCTTAACTGAAAGCAGAGGATAGAATCAGGTGCCTTGAAAAGTTTTAATTTTTATTGAGTTTCACAGCCACTGGGCTCCACTCTTTACCACTTTTGTTTTTGTTCTACCTGTGTTTATTTCATATATGCACACACACCAACCAATGGCAGCAGAATGTGTCAGTGGTCCCATTATGATTATGTGCTCGTAAACACACACACACACACACACACACACACACACACACACACCACTCTTGGGATAATACGATGCACTTCATGCTGATGAAATCCATGTTTTATTATGCCAGAGCTATGCCAAGTGACTTTGCTGTGTCCTCCTTAGAAAGCTAACTGGTTCTTTAATTACACATTCCATTGTATTCCATAGGTTCCCTGGGAAGATTTGCGTTATCTCTTTGGTGAAATTATGTACGGTGGACACATCACTGATGACTGGGACCGCAGACTCTGCCGCACGTATTTAGAAGAATTTATGAACCCTTCTCTGGTAATGTATAGATTGGAGGAGACGAGGAAAAGTTTGTAGACTATATGTTAGGAAGAACTTCCTTATAGCATGACCAGTTCAACAATGGAACAGACTGCCTCAGGAGGTGGTGGGCAGAGGTTTTAAGCAGAGACACTTTTCAGGGATTCTGTAGCAGAAGATTTCCCACAGTAGCAGTTTGTCAGACCATTTGAGGTCCCTTCCAACGAAGATTCTCTTCCACTTGCATTAGCGACATTGGCAAGCAATACATCCTGGTCTTAAAAGGCACATCACAATCTTAAGTGTGTTTAGAAGTAAATACAGATGGTTTTGATGGAATTTATTTCTAGGTAAGTGTACTCAGGGTTGCGGCACAAAAGTGTAATCTAGGCCAGAATCATTTCTACATAACGCAATCAGTTTCACTGGGGTTTAAGAATGCCCAGATGGACTAGCAACCTAGCTGTTCTGTCTTTTCCAAAAGTTAACCATTTATCTGGAGGCAGTAGGGGATGGCAAGTAGAGCATCAAAAGATCATTTCTGCTATGCAACATAGATAGCCCTAAGGACATTCCATTTCCCCCCCATTGATTCCGCAGTTGGAAGTATGTGCAGTGGTTTGAAGTGAAGTGAGTTTGCTTGCATCTATTCACTCTGTAATGACTAGGTTTTCATGTGTCACAAAGCCACATTCAGTTTAGCACAATTGGAAGTCAATTGGAAGACCCAGCAGTGAGTTACCATGGAGATGGGAAGGATAAACACTACTGTACTTCTGACCTCCATGGAAGCTGATTTCTCTAAATGACAGTTAAGGTCAAGGGGGCATGTGGGAAGCTTATTCCGCTGGTACCTCCTCTGCATCTAGCCCATGGATAAGAATTACTATTTCTAGACCAGGCAGTCCATTAACCTTCAAAAGCCTGAACTTTCATTCAAATGTGTGTCAAATACAGGTACAGAACCTGAAAGAAATGGTGGGAATTAGGTGCTCTTAGTTAACTAACCCTAGGTGCAGGTCTACTTACATATTCAGAAACAAGATAATTCATTTCGGTTCAATTGGACAATGGTCTCCTGCAAAGCACACCAAAAGAAACAAAAATTCCTTCATTGACAGGCAAGGTAAACGTAAGCAATGGCTAATGGATATACCACATTTGTCTTCGTTTTATGCCTAACTAGGATCTGGCATGTGTCTGTATTTATTTGCATTTGTTAACAGGGCAAAGTTGCATTTAATCATTAAGGTAGTCAATAGATCATGCATTTTGTGAAGCACTTAAATGGGACTAGGCATATATTTAACCAAATAAAACACTGCTGATTGATGGCTAGATAGAAAGGCAGGATTGCAGCCTTAAATATTTTAACCCAAAGCCACTGGGTGGTGGAAGTGATTGAACTGCCTTATCCTAAGCTGTTCAAAGTGAGGATGGGTGCCTTCTCAGGATCCATAGGATTGCACACTTCAGTAATAAAATAGCCCTAATTATATCAGATATAAAATGTTTACACAAAGTGTGAATTGACGATAAGGAAAACATTCTTCTTTCAAAATATTCAAAAAATGCAAGTTCAAAACTGAAGGAAATGCTACTCTAAGTTTTTTTTTTAAAAAAAAAAACCCCAAAAAAACCCAACCCAGAAATGTTGGGTTGACTTTTTTGTTTTTCCCTTTATATGCCCGCACCCTACAGTTCTGCTGCAGATTGGTAATTACTACACTCCTGTTAGGGATAAGACTGCGGAAGTGCTACATGCACAAGGCCATGCAGACAGGTGCATTTTGATTACAGTGGGAAAATATTGGGGTTTCTAATCAGCAAGCACATGTGAGGATGTCTTTGAGAAACCTGACAGAGCCAGGTTTCCTGAAAGCATCTACCGTACGTAGCTGTGTAAAAAATGCACGTATAACACATCAAATATACACATTTTTTCACAGCCATAACAGGTGGAGTTGCCATAAATCTATGGCAGAATAGGGTTTGTAGACTTCTAGGTTTTGGTTAGAACGTTTGTTTTCAACAGCTTAAGCCCACTCTCTCCCTCAGCATACTTGGGATCCTTTGTGCCAACAGAATTAGAGCCTGGTCAGGGGCCCCCCAAAAGAATTTCAAGAGGGGTGCAGCTTGCCCACCAGACATTCCCGTGGCTGGGTCTACCTGCGGCTGTGGCAGGCCCCGCTGGGCATACCTGCCTTCATGCACACACTTCTTTCAAGCCAATCTATTCAGCTCCTCCTAGTTCCTGGTTGTCACCCCCCGCATAAACATTCCATGGATATCGAGTCATCTTTGGACTATTTGAGTTGGTCTCCCCCCCCCCCCTTAGGTTTTTTCCCCTGGGCCAATCTAAAAATTACCCCAAGTTTTCTTATTCTTTCCTCTTGTGCATAGGTGGTAGTTTTGCATAAGCACCGAAAAACTTGGACCAGAAGTTCCTGTGGCATGGAGAAGGGGGTGGGGAAATTAGGGGTGGAATTCAGAATCATGCTAGTAATGTCATTCCATCCGAACAAGCAGGGGTCTTCTCCACCGCCACCCCCACTGTTTTGGGGATTTTCACAATCCCTCAGAGCCAATTGTGGGGGGCACAGGGGGAGGGCAAGGGAAAGCACCATTGTGCAAGCAGCACAACTCCCACTAGCACAACTATTGAGTTGAATCCAACCCTGTGTTTCATTGTTACATATGGAGCTCTAACGTATCATCTGTTTCTTAGTCTGCTGCTGTCATCAAAGGTGTGTCCCATGAATTGACACTGCTTAAAGACATCTTGAGACCAGATTGTCTGAAATATGCAAAATGAATACTTAACGTCGTTTATTTCCCCTCCCTCCCATCAACTACAGCTTGAAGGCGACTTTGCATTGGCTCCAGGTTTCCTTGCTCCTCCCAATTTGGATTACTCAGGATACCACAAGTATATAGATGAAATGCTTCCACTTGAAAACCCTGTACTGTATGGTCTTCACCCGAATGCTGAGATAGATTTCTTGACAGTTCTGTCAGAAAACCTTTTCAAAACACTCTTGGAAATGCAACCCAGAAATCTACTTGCTGGAGAGGTATCAGGACAGTCAGTAGAAGAAAAGGTGAGATTATGGTGCACTGCAAAATCTTAGTTCCATAAGCTTATTTCGACCTCAATACATGGCTTGCTATGTAGGAGGAAGCTTGAATGACCCTTACCTTTGGGCAAAAATGTTTTGCCATTATGGTCATAAAGAATATACAACAATCTCTGCGATTCCCTCCTTCCCCGGGTTCCAGCCAGACTTAATTAAAAACCAAAACAGGTTTCAACACAGGAAAATTCAGCACTGACAGTACATTGGCCATTAGTTTTTAGATCACATTTTTTTCAGTTGGAGTGCTTCTCCTGTGAGAAGTGCTAGTCCTTTGTTGGTGGTGTGGCCTTGTCCTCTCCAGTGAAGGAAATGCAAGCGAACAACCCATGTTTTTAGTCCCAGTTCACAAAGACCCCAGGATTATTACCACCCTTGTACAGTAATTTTTCACCTTCTGTTATGCTGTCAATTACTTGTGTGAAAAGGGTGCTGCCCATCAACACCCAGTTGTGCAGAATGGGAAGGGAGGATAATGTGTATAAGCCTTCTGAGGCCCTGGTTATGATTCTACAGTAGTGCAGAATAATGCATAGCTAAACACAAAGCTACTAGGAAACACAGCTTTTAGTAAGGAAAAATACCTACTTAGCATAATTGCAATGATGAAGGGGCTTGTACATTTGTAGACTCCATTTTGGCTAGTAGAGAGGCCTGCTTCTTTAGTGTGGCATCTATCAATACCACCCTGCAGAATTAGAGGGCATGAGTGATCAGTGAATTATAAATTAAATTGAAGACAATTTAATTTGAAATTGTGACACACTAATCCAAGTTTCTCTTTTTTAGCTTGTTCTCCCCCTTCTAAATGCTGAACTGGCACTTTTAGCATGCCACATAATGGGCATTCTGTACTTGCCATGAATCAATCTCTCAGTGCAACCACCTCTACTCTTTGAAAGTCCCTCTTAATATCAGGCCACCTTTGCTGTGATGTTTTTGGTGCCTGCTAAAAGCTTACTAGTTTAGGCAAGCCTACCCAGACATGTTAATGCATATATTTGTTTTAAAGCAGGTAAGATTTATTTATGTTGCTTTATGTAAACCATTTTAAATGTTTTAGTTATATATAAATTTTGCAAATAAATAGCCTTTAACTTCTGCCTCCACCCATCTAGCATCAACAACCTGTTCTACAGAGTTGGTTATATATGGTGTTGTGCAAGAATTCTGCCAATGTAGCAAAGATTCAGAGGTAGCTGGGCATTAGCAGCAGCAAAATATTAAACAAACACACCAAGTGGCTTGCAGGGCACATACTGGAGGGACTTTCAATGGAATGTACATGTGGTCAAGCAACTTCTGGTGATTTTGCTTTGCATTTATTTTTCAAGGTGAAGAATGCCCTGGATGAAATTCTGGAGAAGTTGCCAGAGGAGTTTAACATGGCTGAAATAATGCAAAAGTCTACTATACGAAGCCCTTACATTCTTGTTTGTTTTCAAGAATGTGAGAGGATGAACATTCTCATTCAAGAGATACGGAAGTCGCTTAAACAACTAGACCTCGGTCTCAAAGTAAGAGAAATATATTTATGATGAAAACGTATTTAAAAGAACTTGGGATTTAATTTTTCTCCCTCCAAATGTCTAGGGTGAGCTGACGTTTTCTGTTACCATGGAAGCTGTGCAGTCATCACTGTTTTATGACCTGGTACCAGATGCATGGACCAAACTGGCTTATCCATCCACTTACAGCCTTGCCCAATGGTATGTTCAATCATAGTCATTCACTTTACCTGTCTTACACATAACAAGGATTCCAATTCTATTAAACACTGAGCATGTTTGACCAATAACTGCATAGCAGTGTCATTTTGATGTTAATCATGAATGTTTCAGGATTTAAGAGGGTGGAGGCCTCTTTTTCCAGGATACATCTAAAGGCAGGGGATGTGGGTACCTCCAATTATTATTGAAAGACTGCATTCTTACATCTCGGGTAAAGATACAAAAGGAGGGCACAGTTGCCCCATTCATTAGTTTCATGTCTGCCATGAAAACACAATCCCTTAAGAGAAGTAATAATAATCCACCAACAAAAGGCTATAGATTATAGGCTAGCAAATCACAATTTTGTTTTTTAAATTATCACTTCTCATGACACGTTGATCCCTTTGCTGCTTTTCCTTCAGGTTTAACGACCTTCTCATGCGATGCCGAGAACTTGATATCTGGACACAAGATCTAGTACTTCCTGCAGTGGTGTGGCTTTCTGGCTTTTTTAACCCTCAGTCTTTTTTGACTGGTATGTACTATTGACTTATAAAGGTCAAGTAAATTAGATCGCACAGTAGGGCTACAATTTTTATGTAATGGCTTACTGAGGGTTACCTTTGTGGAATTTCCAATGTAACTAGCTCTTAAGAAATATGAATATGAAGTGCTAGTGTATTACAGATGGAACAAATGAGAGCACTTCATTATAAAACTTTCATCAGGGCTAAAATGCTGTAAGTCAAGGCACTGACAATTGAGTGACATACTGAATCAGCAATGATTTAAGTAATACTTGAGATAGCACGATCTAGAAGTATCAAAAGCTGTAACGCGGCTGAATATAATAAGCAGGCATGGGGCCTTATCACTACTTGGATGAGAGCCAGGATGGAAGCATAATTTAAGATATCTTAAAAATGCACTAAAATTATATTAAATTAGGTTCTATTAATTACAATACTATTTCCACAATCGAGAAAAGTTTAGCAGTTCACTTCTGTAGAAAGCATGTAACTAGATTGCAAAATGACTGTGCATCTAGGATCATTTTATTTCAGTGGGAATACATTGCTTCTGCAAAAATCTGTGACACACAAAAAAAACAACAATAGGCCCAGATTTTTAAGAAAATGTAGATTTATTCTTGCAGCAGAGTTAGGTTAATTATATGTTCTTTGCTATGTTTAAGATTACCCCACACCACCCACAGTCATAGTTTTTAGCCATAAAATGATACATCCACCTAACCCATTTTTTCCCCTTGAAAGCCATTATGCAAAGCATGGCACGGAAGAACAACTGGTCTCTGGATAAGATGTGTCTGACTACGGATGTTACCAAAAAAAGTAGAGAGGACTATGGTCATCCACCAAGGGAAGGGGCATATATATTTGGCCTTTTTATGGAAGGTAAGTTTACTAGAGTCGGTAAGCATTATGGACTCAAAAATGAAATGTAGATTTAGGCACCCACTCATGAAATGGGTCAGACACAGAAAATGAAAGTATACAACAAGTACCAATGTTGCAATCCAGAAGCTGTTGATGGAGGTCTAAACACTTGTCTTTTTCCTTCAAGGGTGCTGTGCAGCCCAAATGGTACAAAGGAGTGAGAAATCAAGTTTATATTCTTTTCTGCTGTTCCAATTTTGAAAGCTTACATGAAATGAGGTGCTAGCAATCTTCTCTGAAAAAGCCACACTCAATAGGTTGACCCACTGTTTCAACAGAATACCAGATGTCTTATACCAGAGGTAGCCACTATTGTGCCCTCTGGCAATTAATGACCCAGAATGGTCATGAATGATAGAAACTGTAGTCCACTAACATCTGGAGGCACCACACTGGCTACCCTTACAGAACAAAATTAAATACTACTGTTTTATTGTTAAATTCACTACTATTATGCAGCATTTTATATTAGCTGAGAACCCTTCCACGCACTTCTATAGGTCCTTACTTGAAGATATAAACACTCCCAGTATTCTCTACAGTATTCAAAAAATCTGCGAGTCAGCACATGCCTGGCATTATGCTATGGCTGTGTTTACTATACTAGTGATATAACCCCCAGAGATACATTCAATGGTATTCTCTTAAACTACTCTTTTTAAAATTTAAGTAAAAAACTGTGTTTCTCTGGTTACAGGCGCTAGATGGGACATTCAAGCTGGAGTCATAGCTGAAGCCCGACTAAAGGAGTTGACTCCAGCAATGCCAGTCATCTTTGTAAGAGCCATCCCAGCAGACAGGCAAGAAACGAAAAACATTTATAAATGCCCAGTTTATAAAACGAAAATTAGAGGGCCTACATATGTCTGGACTTTTAACCTCAAAAGCAAAGAAAAGCCAGCTAAGTGGGTGCTTGCCGGAGTAGCCTTGCTTCTGGCAGTTTAGCAGGTACAAAATTCTAGCCCAGCCTTTGCTACGGTATAAGAGTTTGAGCAGGAGAGCTCTGTTCATGTTGAAATATCATGTATATTGCTCTGTTATTGCTTGGCGTTATCACACGCAGCCCTAGGGGATAGTGACACACTGCTTAATATCAAAGCTCTCTAATATGCAGAACATAAAAATGCACCTACAACTAGACATCTCAAAAGCAGATGAGTAATTTAACGGTGTGTGCAACTTACACCTGAAACATCGTTTGTAGGCAGAGGTACAAAAAAAAATATCTTTAAAGGATGTGTACCTCAAGAAATGTGCTGTCCTGATCATTTTAACATCAATATAAAAATATATTAAAATAAACCTTAGGTTAAATACTCCAGTGTATAAAGTAGTCATCTTATTGCCACAATCAGTTTGCTGCAACAGCCAATGTACTGCCTGTCTGCACCACGTTCGATCTCCTTTTGCAGTTCTCACAACCTGCATGCACGTGACTGTGTAGAAGGATATGCATATCCTGGCTATGGTGTGTAGGTGCAGGCTAACTTGGAACGGTGGCCCCCAGGAGTTTAAAAGCTTTTGAAGTAACACCTACTTATATGGGAATTAATATTTTGGGGTAGGTTTAGTTTAACTAATATGCCAAAGAGATTTGTTGCAGTTGAAATAATAAACAGTAGGATTCTAGGAATTCTCCCTCTGGCAAATAATACGTTGCTCTAGCACTGTTTCTAAAATACTTGTGGCCCTACTGTGTGGCTGGACTCCTGACTCAATTGACAGGGATTATGGCAGTTGTAGTCCAACAACTAAAGTAATACAGGTGCTTCATCCCTTTTTTAAAAGCAATAGACTGCAGCTATTTGCACCTATGTAGAATATTAAACCATTGGCTGCTGGAGTCTATTTCTAAGCAGCAAAAAAACCTCCATAGTAATGAATGGAAGCTGTTTTAGTCTCCAAAGTTTTTTGCAGCATACTGTGACAATAATGCACAACACAGATTCCTTTAGCAGGTATTTTCCTGAGAAATCTTTGTCATATGTACAATATCTATTTTTAAAAGTAATGACTTCTGTCCTATATTTTATAAACATCATTGTAGTAAAACTCTGATTAAGTACAAAAAGAAAAGAAAAAGTCGAGAAGGTTTGCAATCTGGTATTTTCAATCATCTTCAGCAAGTTGCTTTTGCAAGCTGAAAAAGAAAAAGCAGAATGGGACTGTTTTATGAGGGGCAGAGCGTGACGGTGATATATCGTAGATTAAGCAGCCACCGCTCCCGCGTCCCTCTGCCACCATACCACTGAAGGGCATGCAGCTCAGTGGAACAGTTTAACAAAGCCCCCACTCGGACTTGATGAGCTGAGAAGCAGCCTTCCTTCAACAGTCCGCTTCTCAGCTGATCAAGTCCCCCCACTTTCAGCTAGCGGGGGCTTTGTGAAACTGCTCTGCTGATGTGCAAGCCCCTCAGTGGAGCAGTTTAATGAAGCCACCCACCTGTGCCTCAACTGCCTTGGGGCAGCTGGGCAGGCTCCCCCTTTCTCCCAGGAGGAAGAGGCTGGCCGTGCCAAGGCGGCAGCTGCATGAACAGAGCATTCATGGGGCTGCCTCAGCAAAGGCAGGCACAGGAGGAGGTGACAGCTTTCTCCTGTACCTCACAGGGCAGGGTTCCTTCCTCCACCCCAAAAATGTAAAAGGCTGCCCTTGCAGGAAAAGCACTTCAGCCATCCTTCTAAAATTTGGCAGGATTCATTCCCTCAGAAGAGCAACTTGTCTGCAGATTTCATCCAATTCTGCCCCAAAATAACAAGTTATACAGTCAGTGCCTTAAGATGCTCAGCACAAAAGCCCCTAGACTTACTTTGTCTGAAATTTTCACTCATCTCTGTCAAAGGGAAAAAAGGTTATAGCCATTTCTTGATTTTCTAATACTGAATCAGGAAAGTGGGGGACTTGAACAAACCACAGGCCAAGTTGGACTGCTATAAAGTACCGTATTTTTCGCTCTATAGGACGCACTTTTCCCCCTCCAAAAATTAAGGGGAAATGTGTGTGCGTCCTATGGGGCAAATGCAGGCTTTCACTGAAGCCTGGAGAGCAAGAGGGGTCAGATGACCCCTCTCGTGCTTCAGGGATAGCCGCCTGAAGCCTTTGAAGCGCAGTGCGAGTTCCCGCTGCGCTCCAAAGGCTTCAGGTTCCTTTCTCTGAAGCCAGGAGAGTCTAGCTCTCCCGGCTTCAGCAAAAGGAACCCAAAGCCTGCGGAGTGCAGCGGGAACTCGCCCTGCGCTCCAAAGGCTTCAGGGTTCTTTGAGGCTGGCGGTGGGGGAAAGCAGCGCCTCCCCCCACCGCCAGCCCCACAAGCTCGGGGGGCAGCGGGAAGGCTGCACACAGCCTTTGCGCTGCTCCCCGACCTGCTCTTTGGGGCTGGCGGTGGAGGAAAGCAGCGCTTCCCCCCGCCAGCCCCAAAGAGCAGGTCGAAAGGAACCTGAAGCCTCCGGAGCCCAGTGGGAACTCCCGCTGCGCTCCGAGTGAATGCACAGAACGCACCTTGTTTTAGAGGGGGAGAACAAGAAAAAAAATTCTCCCCCTCTCTGCTCAGCGCCCCTTCAGCGAAGCGGCAGGAGAAATGGAAGGGGCTCCGTTTCTCCTGCTGCTTCGCTGAAGGGGCGCTGAGCAGAGAGGGGGAGATTTTTTTTCCCCTTGTTCTCCCCCTCTAAAACAAAGTGCGTCCTATAGAGCGAAAAATACGGTACCTCTACTCAAGATGAGTTATCTAGCATTAGGTACAAACACAAATAGACATTCAGATAAGTAGGCTAATTTCAGAATTTATGGAAAATCCACAAGCAACTCATGCTTATGTGTACTTCCAAAGCAGAACTCATGCTTTGAGATGAGAGTGTCTCTGGTATGTAACGAACAGACTATGAAACCCATATAGTTCAGTTACTGACTGGGAAGTTCTTTGTTACCTGCCATATTCCCAAAATACCAAAGTTCAGTGGTTCCTCATGTACTTCTGTGTTTCAGTTTCTTACAGCTTTTATCACCTGTGTAAATCCAAACAAAATCTGGATGCATACTACTGATATAAAATTCCAATAGCTTCCTACCTTTCGAGATATTCTTTTACATTATCATAACCGTAAAACTTTGCCAAGTGAATGAGCATTCCTGTGGCACAACGACCATCACGTTTGCGACAGTAGCTGCAGTTACAGATCCCACGGCACGGAGGGCAGAACCAGTCCTTAGAGAGAAAGGGGCATTAATTATTTTAGTCAACAAATATAGGTGCTCTGGCTTAGCACAGAAACAGGAAGGGAGGTAGAGACACAAGGGTATCATGTTTTTTAAGACTCGTATGCTAGCAATGCATCTACGAGAGCTCCCATAATTTAAGTAGCTTGACAATACATTGATTGATATCCCTCAACCTGAACAGTTTAGATACCTACTGGGTCTAGAAGTGCTGCTTTCACATCTTCTCCATAGCGATTACGTAGGCATGGTCCGCAGAACTGTCCCCTCACACCCCCACAGCCTTCGTTACGACAAACTGTCTTAGTATCGATAGTCTTCTGTCGACACTGATGGCACGTGCTTCCCTAGCATGAGCACAGTAAAAAGGAGAATTATATAAAGGAACAGTGTGTGGAAATAAAACACGGTAACTTCTTGAACCAATTCAGATGATGCTTCCACAGAATTTTACAATATTACTGCTAGTGCAACTAGGCTCCCCACCCCCTGCCCACACACCAAGAGAATACACAGGAGCACTCCATCCGAAACAAAAAAATGCTAAGCCCCTGAGAAACATCATTGTTCGCTTTAGCTCCTTCATAAGTTAAAGTTTGATTTATATCAAAAGCTCAGAACAATGCAAAAAAAAAATCATAATAGAAAATTCAATGGTAGACATCTCTGCTCGGGAATGCTGCAAGGCAGATGTGAACTTAAAATTTACACCACAGCACTCTGTGAAACAGGCATAAAGTACTGGTGGAGTTACGCATACAAACTCCTAAAAACATATGAAGGAGTAACTATAGCTGTCTCCACACAACTGGAAACTACAAAATTATTAAATCAACTGGGACTGCAATCAAACAACTGAGAGAAGGGGATGGAACAGAATTCAGAAAAGGACAGTCAATTGGGAAAAAGGGAATAAACCACCGGCACAAAGATGACTTCTCTGTCTGTGGTCCCACTGAAATTACCAACTAAGTCTTACCAAGAGCTATGAGCTCTATAGCCAAAACAGACAAGAACTGGGCTATTATTCTCTTATTTTGTGAGCGACATAAGGTAAAACATTTTCTTCTTCTGTGGGGAGGTGGTTAATGCTTACATCCTCCAATTGCACCCTGGCTCATGAGCCTTTGGCTTATGAGGGAAAAGACAGACTATTATACTCTCAGCCAACATACACAGGAATTATTCTGTTGGGAAGGAGTTTGAATGTTGAAGTTACTCCCTTTTGGGAATTCAAAGCATACAATGGAACCTCAGGTAACGTAAACTTCGGGTTGCAAAAGCGACAAACCCGGAAGTGTTTTGCGGCATCCACAGAAGTGGTCTCTCCAGTTGTGAAAACTTCGGGATACAGCCGGACCTCCAGAACGGATCCAGTTCGCAACCGGCGGTACCACTGTATTTATTTTGTGCTGATGGAATATGATAACACTGAAATTACTATGATGCATAATAGATATATTGTCTGGTACAGGCTGCATAATTTTAAATTAACCTTACAGTGCCCAGAGGCGTAGGAAGGGGGTTGCGGGCCACCCCAGGTGTCATCGCTGAGGGGGGTGACATTCGGCACGCCACGCACCCACGACTCCCAAGCCTACCCCGAGCACCCCAGTGTGAGGGGGGTGACAAAAAAAATCTGCACTGACCTTGCCACACCTCTGACAGTGCCATACTTAATTGCAGTAATGTAATGTAAATGGCCTGGGTACGCCAGTTAAAAGGGTATGGTCTGCTTTAGAGCAAGATAACCCCGACCTTATTTTTTAACAAGACACACACCAACAAAAACACTGATACAAAATCCTTTCTCCAAAGCGGAGTTGGAATGGTACACCTCACAAGGCGCTTCCAAAATGCAGGGAGGTCAGCAAAATGCAGGGAGGTCTGGGTTTCAGTTAAAAGACCCTAATGTAAGATTTATCTTCCTCCAAGGTCTGTTTGATTATTCCTGTTCAACATTATGCTCTATTTATGTTCGCAATACCTGACAAGAACAATTTCTGGATGAAACTTTTACATTACTGCATTCATTTAAACAAGGTAAAGCGGGAATAGGTGGTAACTTACATCTTGTACTTAATTATTATTTTTGATAAAAGCAGAATGTCTCAAAACCCACACAAACTGCCTTCTTTGAAAACATCCCTCTACAACATACTACATAAACACAATTCCTTTGATGTTTGGTGCATAGCCAATCGAAAAACTATACCTATATGTCAGCATTCGATTGCCTTTCTTGAAACGCCTAAAACTACACATTAGCTACTATTTTTCTTTCTTTTCTGTAAAACATTTGTTTCCCTGTATGGGCATGTTTTGTTACTTGAAATTAAAAATAAAAATTTTTAAAGGGCTAATAGAAAGACAGTTGTTTTTCTATTAATACCCTGACCGGGTGGGCAAGTCCACTGATGGATATCAGAAGCACGCCCTGCCCTGTCTGTTCTGCCACACTTTGTCATAGTGTCCACACACAAAAACATGACGAGAGTGCAGCTAACATTTGGAGGACTAATGGGAGGGAAGATACCTTGCAGCTCCAGCCATTTATGCAATAAGCTCTCTCATAATCATTCAACACTTCGTAGAACATCCTTCCACATGACAGCCTCCACCCCAAGCCTGGTGGCTAAGAAATTCTTTTTCTGACAGCAAGGCAAAGAATAAATGAGGGTAGAGGCTCAGGAGATGCCTGGTGCCATTGGTCTGATGCTACATGACCCTCCTAAAAGTGGGTTTACAGTCTCCCACTGTTTACTGGGTGTCTTCTACATGCAACCAGCAGGAAAGGACACATCTAGATCAATACAAACAGTGCTGTGGCAATTTATTTTAACGCCATGTAAAGAACATTCAGCGTACTAAAGAAGTCAAAATAGCTTAATCTCAAGCATTACATGTGCTCAAAAAATTAGTTTCATCAAACCCAAGAAGAAGAGATGCACCTACCAGGACTTTATCGTAGATTTTATCTTTAACTGTTATTGCAATGTTTTCTAAATCTTCGTCTGTAATATCTTCAACTGTTCGGTTTGAACAGTATTTTGATGATCTTCGTCTTTTAGGTGTCCCCAAATTGTTCTATGAAAGAAACTCACATCAACGTCTCTAAACCAATGACTTTATGCTCCACTATTTTAAGAACAATAAAAACCAAATAAATAAATAGCAAGCGCAATCCGTCTCATTATTCATGCAGGTGTTTCCCCTGCAACTCAGTGTGCTTCTTTTTCCTTTCCTCCTCAAATTGTCTGCTTGGAACTCAACTTAAATAAAAAACCCAACCTCCCTATACTCTTTGTGCTCAGCTCAGCCTCACTTCCTAACCTTATCACTCTAGAAAGGAGGAGTCTCATTTCTTTCCTATATTGTGCACATTACATATATAGATATTCCATTCCAAACTGTGCTACAAAAATGTAGAATATCCCCCTCCCCTCATGAGCAGTATTTTAGGATTCATATTGCATTTCTTTAAAATACAATACATACTACATATAGGAATAAAAATATTCTATTTGATCTACTATAATGTATAATACTGGTTTTTCATTTACAGCATCCATTATTTTCTATAGCTTATAATAAAAACAAATGAACTAATCCCCCCTCCCGAAAAGAACTAATCCAATCACCAACCTTTTGAGACCCATTTACAAACCTGAGATACTTTCATAGGCACCAAACACAAGTTGCTACCAAGCACACACCACAGCCTATTCTATTTGGCTGCAATAAAATACTGGCTTGTTTTCGGATCACTTTGCCCTTAGTGTTCCAGTCCTTGTTACCAAAAATACTCTGGGGTTAGGTGAGGTGGTTTCTAAAAGCAACACAAACTAAAAATTGAACTAGTCTGGTATGTACCCCTTTTAGTCTTTTCTTTAAGAGCTTTTGTTGTCTGAAACTGTTAAGCTGCTCTGCAAATCTGACTGCAGAAGCAGTGAAGTTTTCCAAGGCAAATTTCTCTGGGGGACGAGCATTTCTGGTTGGGTTTGTTCGACGCTCTATGTGGCCTTCTGAAAACATTCTCCTTGGCGTTTTCTTCTGTTTCTAGAAAAAACCAGAGCGTTTTAATGAGTCACCATAGATCTGTTTTAATTTTGTAGAATGTAGCAGCAGTAGTGCCTTTACCTGTTTGTGTTAATGAATAGATGCAACTTCTTTAACCTTTCCAAATTCACCCTTTTGAGGGTCTTGTTTTATACCACAGTGCCAATCTCCACATATAAAATGAACTTATTTGGGCCAAACTACAATTGATAGCGCAAATGCATTTTACACTTCTACAAATAGCAGCTGCACTCCTCCATTCTGATCTGGGATCCTGGGGGAAGGGATTAACCCCTTTCTCCACTGAACATTTCAGCCATGCTCTCCTTTTTCTTGGCTGCTATTTGCCCCAACTGGAAACACATGCAATGCCTAACAGCATTTGCATGGTTTTTCCCCAATTGATAAGTAGATATATTCAACAGGATAATGTCCTAGGAGGGGGAGGGCTAATCCCACTGCTCCATGGTTGCTTTTTATAAAAGTCTGAGATGGAGATCCATTCACAGTGTTCATCATTATGTCTAACTTGGCCCTTTTCTTATGGCTGTTAATGCTACAGTAGCAATTCTTGTAGTAGTGTAGTAGTGTAAAAAGGAGATGCACAAAACTGTACGAAGTTGCTCCTCGTACCTTTCAGTTAATTTGCAGGGGTTTTTTAAACACATTTATTCTTTCTGAATCATCTAAACAGAATAAATGCATATAACGTAAAGCTGGTTATGAAAGAATGCAATTGTATAGTAACTGGAAGGGAAAAGTCACAAAATACACTAGTGAGAGCCCAATAATTTCCTAGTCATATGTATATGAAGGGAAAAGCTGGTATTTCTGTATGCACACACTTCATAACAGACATGATATCTGTTTTTAATCTTGGCCTGAAAATCTAAGTCCAGAATGTCTCCTAAGAAGCAGTTTAAACAGCACTGTATCACCGGGTTGGGGGGGGGGGTAGCACCTATTGGAAAATACAGAAAGAAAGCCACACAGCCAATCTTAGCAGTGCATTGCAGGTTTCCCAAAAGTACCTGATACCTACCGAAGGAGTTGAGGTAGGGGTTTTCACTGGAAATAAGTCAGGTATAGAATTCAGTTCCGCTAATAACTGAGCAAGCTGAAATGAGAAAAATGACACGGAATTTCTTCTGTATATTTAATATATGCATTGTCCTTTGAAATTTTCTTTTTTTTTCTTCTTGTTTTTCCATTTCTCTGTGTAAATTATTATGGTTTCTTTGATGTGAAATTGTAAGTCCTGTAATGCTACATCTTAAGTAAATCTTTTTATAGTTGTTCAGTTTCAAAGTGTGTTTTCAAAATGCCAAAATTAAAGTGCACATTTTCAAAATTGCAATGACTCCACATATTAATCCGGTGTGGATGGGTTTTGTCATTAACTTGAAAGGAGAAGATACTGTAATGTGGTGCTTCCTTTGAATAAAGCTGTATGCCACAGAATATGCACCCCACCTGCACTGTAAGAAAGCATTCAAAAGTTCTTCTGTTTTAGATTAACTTAGCTTGCTGACATCCAAACACGGACTAACTGTGGTTAGCAGAAACAAGCAACTTCAAATCATAGTTTATGAAGCCAGCTTGTTTTCACTTAGAGTAGCCAGGGTTTAGAATTTGGCTGACTTTGCAAACTGTGCTTAATCTAAAACAAATAGAAAATTCTGATCTTCTGGTGTTAGTACCTGCAAAGAGTTGGAGAGCCCAGAAACTTAAGGCTCATTCTCATACTGCTCAGCCATACTTTAGAAGAGGAATGGGAAATCTGTGACCCTTTATTCATCAAATTTTGAAGGTATGCCAGTTCCCTATCCGTGGTTCAGTGGCATGACCAAATGCTGCTATTAACAGTTGCTTTCAGATTCAATTCAAGGTACTTTGTGCCTTCTTTTAGAGAGGTCTGACCTGAGCATGCATAGGGCTAGGCATTCATAGTGTTGGTGCTTATATTGTGAGCAGCCTGCCCACATTTTTGTTCCAGAAAGCTTTTTCAGTTTGACTATAACGGGCTATGTGTTTTGTGTTGCGCACTGATAAAGTAAGGTAAGGCAAATTAAATTTTTAAACATACAGTGGTGCCTCGCAAGACGAAATTAATTCGTTCTGCGAGTTTTTTCGTCTTGCGAGTTTTTTTGTCTTGCGAAGAGCACAGTTTCCCATAGGGTATTAACGGTTTTAAGAAAAAGGAAACAAACTTGCAAGACGTTTTCGTTTTTCGTCTTGCGAAGCAAGCCCATAGGGAAATTCGTCTTGCGAAGCAACTCAAAAAACGAAAAACGCTTTTGTCTTGCACGTTTTTCGTCTTGCGAGGCATTCGTCTTGCGAGGTACCACTGTACATATACTTTTGGGTCTAGAACTGTCATGTCCATAGCAGCCTGCAATTTCCTTCCGTCTTCTTCGTTATTAGTGCAAACTAAGAGTGTTGAAATATATTTTTACAGTTAGTGTATGACAATGTCACCTGCATCCCAGTTCTTACCATGGCTTTATTTTCTTTTATATTCATGGCTCTTTTAAGCAGTGCACTAGAGCTTTCATTTGATGCCTCTTTAGAATCTTCCTCTTTAGAATCTTCCTCTGACCCTGAAGATGCTTCCTGATCTGCCACTTTCCAAGTTTTATTCTTTTTTATTTGTGTAAGAGAGCAAGGGTGTTTACTGTCCATCAAGCAGAACTTAGAAGAACGTCTTTTAGGTGCCCTCTTCTCAGCAGATTTTTTGGTAGGAAACTGCAATGCCACACGAAGGCCAAAGCTACTTCTCCTGGAGGAAGCATTTGCTCTGCCTTCCTCCGCCTCCACTTCTTCTTCTGGTTCTGCCACCATCAAGGATAATGGATCATTTTCTGGATCTGATTCCACTGCCTAAAAACAATGCATGAAACAATGTATAATAAAATTGCATCTATCATGCAATGATTTCCAGTTCCACTAATGAATGAAAAACACCATTTTCATTATTTCTACACAGGCCTTACTGAAAATGCATGTTTTTAAAAGTAATCTGACTTTTAATTTAAATGGACAAACTTCATGTAAATCAAGACAGCATTGAGCATAGGGACACATCACTCCTTGTATGTGCTGCAACAAAACAAGGCCAAGAATGTTATAGATCACGATGGTGCTCAATTATAGACCAAAATGAGGCTCTAGAATAGACAGTGAATTAATTGCAGAAACACTACTGACTTCACAGGCACCATACTTTATCTAAAGTCCTTCAACAAATAATGCATTACACTTAATGCACAGAAATTAGTTGTGGGGGCAGAACTAAGCTTGCCATTAATTTAGGCTGTAATCCTTATACACATTTGCCTGGAAGTAAGTCTCACTGAACACAAAGGACATTACTTCTGGGCAGCTATGCGCAACACTGTTTTGCAATAAATAATTCCAGGTTGAGGATCACAGCTCTGTGGCATTCAATCCTTCACATCTCCATATACATATATATATATATATACATACAAACACACACACACACACACACACACACACACACACACACACACGTACGTAGCAAGTAGAAGTTGTATGCCTAAGATCTTGGAGAGTTCAAACTGGGATTTAAATCTTACTGTCCCTTCACTGCACAATAACAACTCAGTTTCACATGACAAAAGGAATGTCAGAAGACCCAGACCGTGCTACTTGGGAGAAACCTCCTCCTCTGGACAGTAGGCCAACAGTGACATTGGAAGGAGCTGCAGCATTGGTTACCAGTTCTGATGTTACCTTTATGGTATAGAAAGGAGATAAATTGCAGCAGTACCCACACTGCAAAGCTCAATGTGAGAAGGGGTATGAGAAAATCTTGTTTAGTAGGCTGTAAGTTTCAATCAATTTTTTGCCGCCTTCTCAGTCCTGAACCTCAGTGCAAGTCACAGTCCTAAACCACAATATTTATTAAAACAAGAGGCAAATCCACAGGAGAAACAAAGGTATATGAAGATAAATACTATGAAAAATGTGGCCTGTACCTCCATATCATCCTCTCCATTTACTTCAAATCCTTCGAACGCTTCATTTTCTGACTCAGTGTCTTCCCTGAAAATCTCTCTCAGTTTCTCAGTCAGGTACTTGGGCTGACAATGAATGTCCTGCAACACCAAGCACAAAACACATTGTTCCCTGAACAATGAAGCAAAAAGGAAAACAGCCAAAGATCTTATCAAAATCAGAGTAGACTACTTAACAGTTTACTGCATAGAGGATGTGAACCGGGAAAGAACAAAACCCAGCTGAAGGAGATGGGAGGGTAAATGCAACCCTGGATAAAGCAACCAAGATAATTCAGGTGAGCAACTCCTTCCTGCTCCCCTCCCTTTGGAAAATGCAACTTTCTCCTTCCATTGATGTGTGTTTAAAATGTCTACTCATTGGCTTGAATACTAAGATAACTTTAGAAAGCTGAAGGAAGAAAAACTTCCCATCCCTTCCCCAGCTCTGTAGCCATTATAAAGATGCCTCCCTGAACAATGTATGGGGGGGGGGGGACACAATAGGCTTACCTTCCATTCATTTATTAATTAAAAAAATTAAATCAGCTGAGACATGAAAACGGTTAATGCAGCATAAGGTTATCAAACTGACATATGGGGACGGTGTGGGAGAAGGGAGAAAGGGGGAAGAAAGGGACCCAAGACTTACTTGGGGCAATTGCTCCTACCCCTTCAGCCCCTCATGAGCCTTCCCACCTTGTGCCCATCCAGAGCTTTCTCAGAACGGCAGGAAAGGACAAGGAAGTTTCCTTCCATGACTTTCTTAAGGTCAAGCCAATATGTTAACACAGTCTGAATGTCTGTCTCTCTCTGGCCAACATTTCTGACACAACATTTAAAACATATGTAGCACACATTAAAGCTCGTGACTCCCCCTGAAGAATCCTGAGAACTGTAGTTTGTTAAGGGTGCTGAGAGCCAGCTTTGTAAGGGTGGAAACTACAGATCCCAGGGTTCTTGGGGGGAAGTCATGTGCTTTATATCTTTGTTGGAAGTGTTTTAAATGTATGGTGTGGATCTGCCCCTCCCTCCCTGTCCCCACCATCCCATACTCACACAGTGTAAGTAAATAACTTCCCATTATTGCTCTAGCATCAAAAAGTTATAGAGGTGTGGTGTTTTTTTCCTTGCAAGTTGTTTTAACTCAAATTTTGTTTTACTATGCACATAGAAGAGTCACAATGAACTTTATGAAATCAGGTGGAGGGGTTTGTAAAAGAAAATATTTCAAAGCACCTGTCAATCTTTCTACCTTTCTAAGGCTTTCATTCTAAGGCTACTGTAGGGCGGGGGATGCGGAACTCGCATGCATATGCAGAAAACATCAATCTTTGGAGAGTCACAACTGTGCATTATGAGAGCAGTTCCCTTGTTTTTCTTTGCCGCTTCCTCCTGCCATGCAAGACTAAATGACCTTTCATACAACTGCACTTCACTAAATATCTTTATTTCCTTTTACAATGCTGCCCTCACTTCCCTGTATTTAATTATACACTTCTTTATACTGAGATAATGTAAGTGAAAAACAGTTACAATAGATTAAGAGAAAAACTTTGAGGGGAACACAAGAGAAAGAATCATTTATATACTGTTCCTTTAAACTCGAAAATCATCTCCTATGATAATTGGAGGGGTTCTCTTTGTAAAATTACTTCTTCTGCTGATAGCTGCGGTGCAGCTGCTTCAGAGTGGGGGGGGGCGTACACACAAAAGGAAAGTTACTTTAAATGAGAAATTGTATTTATAGTTGATACAGATTGAAAGAGGAATGTTGACATGGCAGAAAAGCACTGAAAAACTTGTTTGTTGCAGAGGTAGGACTTAAATTCAAGTCTCCTAAATCTAAATCTCTTTAATACATGGACTTCACCGTGTTTCAGATAGTAAGGACTTGATTATGTCTCCCATGTTAAACTTGCTTGATTCTGATTACAGCAAGGCTTAGGACATGACTATACCCTAAATATATGCATACCACTGCCCTTTAGCAGTTTATGGTTAATTTTCAACTTGGTGGAGAAGATAATTCACCCAGATATTTGCTTGAATGTGATTTAGTAATAGCTGCTGCTTTGATCTCTGAGGTCAGTTTAACAAATTGCAGTAGGAATGATAAAAGCAAAGAATGCTTTGACCAACCTTAGGTTTAATGTGTAGATTTATTAAGAGGTAGTCTTCGGCCACCTCATGAGAAGAGAAGACTCCCTGGAAAAGACCCTGATATTGGGAAAGATTGAGGGCACACGGAGAAGGGGACGACAGAGGACGAGATGGCTGGACAGTGTTCTCGAGGCTACCAGCATGAGTTTGATCAAACTGCGGGAGGCAGTGGAAGACAGGAGTGCCTGGTGTGCTCTGGTCCATGGGGTCATGAAGAGTCGGACACGACTAAACAACAACTTCTAAAGAATGCACTTAAGGGTGTTTAATCTTCAATAGATAGTCTATGCAAAAAGTCAAAAGCACTACATTCCAAAAGCATTTTTAGAAAACAATTTCAGAAGAAGGATAATCTATTTTAGTTTTCACCATGGTTAAATATAATGTTTCAGATTTATAGGAGATTTACAAGATTTCCCTACCTTTTTTCTTGACTCTAGTGAATCAAAACTCTCACAGCTGTCTTCCGGTGACAGTGTTTCCATGGGAACATCTGCTCCAAACCCAAGAAAATCTTCATCATCACTTGGGGTATTAAATATATCAGCCAATTTGAGCATCTGTTTTCAGTTCGTAAAGAGAAATGGAAGATAAAGTTAGCTATAGTAGTTATTAGTAGCATCTTTCACAAGAATGGCATGTTATTAATTCACCACTCATTTCAATTAAACATACATAGTACACATGAAACTTCACAGGTCAAAACACAGAGGATGCTAGGAAGGCTGATTTAGGTTGCAAATCACTTCACACTTGCTCAGGAGTAAGGAGCAGGTGCTCACCCACCCTTGTCACAGCAGGATGGAACCCTGGCTCTGTGAAGAGAGAGGAACCCAAACCTGGCCCTACAGGCAGAGAGAGGCAATCCAACTCCCCATTGCAGCTCAGAGCTGGAGCTATGCAACTTCCCTCTGTGTCCGAGAGACCTTCTGAGCTCAGAGAAAACGGATGTCCCTCCACTTCTCCCTTTCAACCCTGAGCTTTCTTCTGCACCCGAGGAACACCACAACTCTTAGCATCTGCCAGGTAGTGAACCAAAGCAAGCCTCTGCCCCCTTCCAGCACTGTGCTGGATGGACGGTTGGAGTCCCAGCTCCAATTTTAAGAGATGGAAAGAGAAGTGATTTCTTCCTGGCCTCCTACAGTGGAGGGATAGTAAGGGATTGCAGATTCCCATGTCATTTAATTGTTTGTAAATTATATATTAGTTTTCACTGTTGATATACAGTTCCAGTCTTATAAACTTTTACAAATTATCTCAGATTTTGCCTAACAGGACAGTTCAAGACACAGGAGTTTGTAATACCTCAAGAACACAGGGTTGTGTCCAATGCTAATCTTACTCCAAGCAGACCCAGTGAAACCAATGGTCAGGATTCACTTATGTTTATTATTTTCAGTGTCTCTATTTGAATAGAACTTAGTTGGCTACAACAACCAGCCTCTTAACTTTGTGATATTTCAAGTGCAGCTCTAAAACAGCAAGCCAGTTCACCACCCAGAAAGGAGGATATTCTTCAAATGTTTAAAAGAGCACCCTAAGGGTTGGATGACCTATGAATTGAACTGAAGAAATCAACATTACAATGCTAAAACTTTAGAAATATATTTGGTATGCACTGCCACTATACAGTGGTACCTCGGGTTTAGAACTTAATTCGTTCTGGAGGTCTGTTCTTAACCTGAAACTGTTCTTAACCTGAGGTACCACTTTAGCTAATGGGGCCTCCGGCTGCCGCTGCGCTGCTGGAGCACGATTTCTGTTCTCATCCTGAAACAAAGTTCTTAACCCGAGGTACTACTTCTAGGTTAGCGGAGTCTGTAACCTGAAGCGTATGTAACCCGAGGTACCACTGTATATGCAAATACCTACGATGAAGTATCACTAGAATATTCCTCAAACTCTATTCACTACCTGAGAAAATATGTAAAACAGGCATGCATTGTCTAAGTGAGGCTGACTGGTTTGTTTTTAATATGAAGTTCACAATGATAGTGATGATGATGAAAAAGCAAGAATTAGAAAATCTAACTCCAGTATATACACTGTACATTTTCCCTCCACACTCATACACGTTTTTATATGTTATTTTTATAACATGTTTTTCAGCACTGGAAAATAATTACAGAGTAATTTTTAATTTTCACTTTCCATAAACTTACAAATTGTGCTCACATTCCCATATTTCTTTTCTTCATTGTTTATCCCTGTTCTCATTTGAGACACTAACTTATATAACAAGGCTGTTTTCGCCTTATTTTCCTCATCCATTCTGATATAGGTGGTTTTTATTTTTCCAGTGAGGACCAAGGCATAGTCTTACATATATTAGAAGCCATGTAACTAAGTGTAAAGGGACGTGGGTGGCGCTGTGGGTTAAAACACAGAGCCTAGGACTTGCCAATCAGAAGGTCGGCGGTTCGAATCCCCGCAATGGGGTGAGCTCCCGTTGCTTGGTCCCTGCTCCTGCCAACCTAGCAGTTCGAAAGCACGTCAAAGTGCAAGTAGATAAATAGGTACCGCTCCGGCGGGAAGGTAAACGGCGTTTCCGTGCGCTGCTCTGGTTCACCAGAAGCGGCTTATTCATGCTGGCCACATGACCCGGAAGCTGTACACCGGCTCCCTCAGCCAATAAAGCGAGATGAGCGCCGCAACCCCAGAGTCGGTCATGACTGGACCTAATGGCCAGGGGTCCCTTTACCTTTTTAACTAAGTGTTTGCCAGTTTTCCACTTCTGCCCAGATTGTATACAAAAGAATTGTTTTGAAATTTCTTGGTAATTACATTTCCTGTATAATTTCCAAAATACACTTATTAAAAATGATAGTACTGTGCTGAATAACCAAGTCCATTCTTCCAGTTACATATGCTATTTACCAATCGGTAAATCTTCCTCCCACTTCTTTTTAAAAGTTGGGGATAACTGCTTATCCTTAGTATGATAACATTTGATATATTCTGCTTATTAAACTTTTTGATCTGGATTAATCAGCAGCTTTTCAAAGGGACTGTATGCACCCAAGGGTCCATATTTGGCTTTCAATTCTGCAACAATGCTTAGGGGGTTTAATCTATGAAAATAACAGACTATGAACTGTTGCCCAATAAGTTTGGAAAACAAAACATGCTGAGATTTATAGATGGATAGTGTAATTTGTAAGTTTGGGGGCTGGGCACTGCCCCTGACCTGAACCATGGAAGCACTTGACCCGTTTAAGGCCCCGATATTTTTGGGGGGGTGCGACTTTAAATTAGTTTTTAAAGACCTATTAAATCAGGAGGGGAGCAGGGAAAGGAAGCACTGCTCCTCCTTTTCCTGTCCTCTTAACTGCACTACAGAAGAAGAGTTTGGATTTGATATCCCGCTTTATCACTACCCGAAGGAGTCTCAAAGCGGCTAACATTCTCCTTTCCCTTCCTCCCCCACAACAAACACTCTGTGAGCTGAGTGGGGCTGAGAGACTTCAAAGAAGCGTGACTAGCCCAAGGTCACCCAGCAGCTGCATGTGGAGGAGCGGAGATGCGAACCCGGTTCCCCAGATTACGAGTCTACCGCTCTTAACCACTACACTACAGAGAGGAGGAAAGTCCAGTCCTGCTGGGTGCTGCTTCACCAACACATTCCCTGTAGGAAACACGCTGGTGAAACAGACCCCTACAGCCAGCAGGACTGCATCCTTGATGTGCAGTTCCTGCGGTGCTGCTGCATGGGCTCTGCCAGGCCTGCTTGACCTTCATCAGTGCCACCTCCTCCCGCTCCATGGCCACTCTTCAGGCCGGATTTCAGACAATGAGTCTTTGCCATCCCTACCTGGAGATGTCAGGGAATGAACCTGGGACCAGCAACAGCTTTTCCCAAAACAAAACAAGTCAACAAAGTTCTCAGTGCGGCTGGGAAAGAGGAGTTAAAAATGAAGCACTATAATACTGAACATTTTAGTGCCGTAATGCAAAATGCATATGAAGGGCTGTGGAGTCTAGTTGCTATGAATAACTGGCTTCCAGGAGCAAGTGCATTAGTTCCTGAACTATTGTACAGCTGAGCTAGCCGCTGCTGCGATTATCGTATGCCTAACTAATTTCTTCTTCTGCATCTGTACCAGAGGAGTCATTACGGGGGTGTAATTACAGATTATTAACGAAGAGGGGGGGGAACCCTTTTCGAGTAAAGTCCCTTTTTTGATCTCTGTGTATTGGTATGGAGGGACTCTGAATAAAGTAACACTGCAGAGGCTTCAAAAGAGCCTTTTGCATTCCAAGCCCTCTTCCCTCCATATTGATTTTCAATAGTCTTATTAAAAACATTCAGGAGCCCCAATGCCTTAATTTAAATGAGAGCTGTATAACATACAACATTGATACAAGATAGACCTTGTCAATCAATGAGTTTTGCACAGAGTAACTGTGGCAGTGCATCAAAGAAGCTGGTTTCTTGCCACCAAGAACTCACAACTTTTTACTTTAAAATGTTTATAAGTAATTTTGCATGTAACCACTATGCAGCCTTGACACAATAACTAACTGATTCATTTTAAAAGCTTCTACTCTGTTAAAAAAGAAACATCAACCTTGAAGGAAAGTGAATGTTTTGAAGTGGGTGGATCTACTGACATGGTGAGAATTTTGTGAAATTAGCAGTTTGTCTACACCACAGGCCTACAACTGGTAGGCTGAGACCCACAAGCTACTTGCATTCTTAGCTAGGGTGGATTGAACCTGTGGTTCCTTCTGGCAGCTGGGGAACACCCAAAGATGCTCAAAGCATCTCCAATGCACAGCACCAAAACACATCCCCAACCCCCCTCCCCAGCTAGTCAAGAGAAAACTAGGGATTGTTAAAGCAGATTAGGCTGATTGAACCTTGCCTCAAACAGCCAAACAACTGTTTCCAACAGATTGCAAATCTTTCAGTGGAAGTCAAGCTTCTCATTAAATATCACTGGGGATAAAATAAGTGTCCTGCTGCATAACTCCCAGGATAGTGAAAAGCACTCTTCTCATGCTACTTTATGGACTTGGTAGCTGGGACCAGAACCACTGTAACACAGCTGCCCCAATTCTCAATGCATGGAGCTGGTTCAGAAGGATACCATGGTCAATATAAGAAAGCAGTGTTCAAAACTCCAAGGAATTTCAGGAGCAGCTTCTGAGCTCTGGGAGTAGATTAAAACTGCAGAGTGGATGGAAAGGGGTGGACCTTTTTCTGCCTCCCCACTTCCAGCTACTCTCTTAAGACTGGAGAAGAGACCCTCTTAAGAATATTAGGGGGGTGGGCAGGGGAAGGACTAGACCATGGGGGAAATGAACATAATATTTAAGCTGTAATTCATTCATTTTCAGCTTTGTATTCTTGCTATAAAAAGTGTGCCTAGACATTCCGTTGTTGCGTCCATAACCTAGGTTTATGGTGCCATTTAGCTCCTAGCTTTCATATCTTTGTTTCTAACACTGCAAAAAAAAGGTAAAGATGCAGGAGCAAAGTTGAAATTCCCTTGTCCTGCTCCCAGTAGAGGTATCAGGGTAACCAAGACCAGCTCAGTCAGACCAGATCTGAACCCAAATTAGAATGGAACTAGATAATCCGTATCATCCAAGAACGTAATGAACCATTAACAACTCTAGACCTAATTAATCACTCCCTGTGAGATTTAGTAAATCAAGAGGGCATGTGGTTGGGTGTGTTGCCACAAGCACCTTATCTACATCACAAGGCTTCATAAACTGAAACACATCCCACAACACATCAGACTGTGGCACTGGATCCTTCCGTTGGAACTGCAACAACTGCTAAGTGAAGGTGACTCCAGAGTAAAGTGTCTTTATCCTCAAAATGTGCAGCTAGTTGGACAAAGCAAGTCACTGAATGACCCAAAGGGCTTTTCCCCACAATATCAACCTTGAGACTGCTCAGAACAGCTCCACCAGTCAGTTATTAGCAAGCTCTTAACTTACATGCTAAAATTATACAGAACTTCGTGGCCAGAAGAGATCTCAAAAGCCCTGTACAGTATAATAAGACAAAGATAAAAACCAATTCAAATAAAAAACCAAAGTCAACAAGAACAATGCAATCAACAAAAAGGAGCAGTAACCAAACCAAGCTTGTTGAATATGCTACAGGAGCTCATGGAAGGCCTTTCCACAGCTCTGGGACTTTCAATGAGAAGGCTGTTCTTTTTCATGAAGGACATTCTGGCCTTCACCTGAAGCTTCTCAGCTGACTTTGAACTGCAAGGAGGTTCACATGGGAGTAGCCACAATGGCCAATAGTCAGGGATGATGGGAGCTGCAGTCCAACAAATCTCTTGAGTGTCACAGTTTCATCATCCCTAACTTAGGGCTTCACAGGTCAAATGGGGAAGCGGGGATGCTATGAACCAAAAAGACGAGGTGACCCTGATGTATCATTAAACCAACTCAGAGCATAGGATGCAGCATTATGCTGACTCAGACCACTGATCCACCAGCACAGGTACCTGTTACACTAACTGGTAGCAGCTCTTGCAGATCTCCTGGGTTTCAGACTACCATTTACTGAGGGCAATGCTTTCAAAGTAGGTCAAACATAAAACATTGTTATAACCAATAATAATGGAAATAATGTTTCCATTGGTATAAATTAGCACACTAGGCACAAACAAACCCTACTAGCATGGAGCAAACCAAGAGGGGGCAGCGACAAATAAAATCTAAAGCAATGGCAGTAGAAGGACTGACCAATGCTTAACAATAGGATCTTCTGCATTTAAAACTCGTGTAATTTACACCGAATACTTCTTGAAACCAAGTCAGTGAAGGTAGACTTGGATTGCAGGGTAGTTCATGAACACATTACAGTATGGCAATCAGTGCAGATAAATGTTATCTATCCACTACATTAAAAGTGAATGCTCTCCACTAGGGGTGGGGACTCTAAATGCTGTTTATTTAGAGTATTTATGCCCTGCTGTTCAGACAGTGAAAGGCTCCCAAGGCAGCTTACATGCAACGAAAACAAGAGAGTTCCTACTCATAGGCTTACAGTCTAAAACACACACACAAGGAAAAAGGGACAGGAAGGAAGAGCTGATAGGAGCTGCAGTCTGTTTTTGGCCTTCCAACACTATTGAAAGCCAAGAAGTTGTAGTCTGGCAAGTCTCTGGAAGGCGACAGGTTCCCCACTTGTCAAAACACTTCTCTAAGAGCTTGTGATCCAAAACCATGCAGGACCATCAACAAATTAAATAAATTTTTGTTTCCATATAACATACTCAGTGCTATTTTTCAGGGGGAAAGGTCCCAGAACTCACCATTGAACACATCCCTTCACACATGTGGTGTGCATGTGTCACCGCAGGTACTATTAGAGGAGTTTCCTCCTGAGTAGGTGGACTGGCTCCTCTGAGATAGTGCTTGCCATCTGTGTGGTTTTTTTCTTTTCTTTTTTAAAAAGAAACACTCTTATTTTAAAAAGCTTTGACGTTTTAAATAAATCCAGGGAGCTTTTGTATTTACTTCAAAACAGAACTAGTATCTTTGTAAATATGAGAAATACTTTTCAGGAGTAACACTCGCTGAAACATTTAAGGAAAACTCTGTAAGGTTTCTTTATTAACTGGAAAGTTTTATGAGTCAGCTTAGATCCGAGTTCGCCACAATGCAAGAGAGTTTTTTGGCCAAACGCCCCCTTCTTTCGCTCCTTTTTCAGATTCCTTCACTTCCATGACTATCCTTGCTGTAAAAAAAAAAGTGACCAGGCAACTCTGTACGGGGCGGGGGGCAACTTTCGCGGCAGGCCATTTTCACCAGCGATTTCCTCATTTCCCGGACTCCTCGAATCCGGGCAACTACAGAAGGATGCAAACAAAGGCAGCGAGGTATTTCACTCGACTGTCCCCAACCCTGCCGGGTTAAACAGCAAGAGAGAACGCAAACGGAGGAGAAAAGCTGCAGCTAAGCAATGCATCCAAAGGCTGTAGAGCGAGTTGGGCAGATTATTTCTCTTCTCGCCCCCCGCCCAATTTCCACATTTGCAGAAAAGTCCGTCCCGCTGGACGCACGTGGCTGCTCTGTGGAGAAAAGCCAGGCACTTCTATAGGGAGACGTCCATGACTGCAAGGCCTGGCGCTGCAAGCAAGGCGTCGGGGCCATGTTTGGCGAGAGGGGGCTCAAAAGGAGACCACCACACCCCCTGGGCAACCCCATATATTCTGCTCGCCAGCGAGGAGCGCGCGCGAGAGTCTGAGAAACTGGCGCCAAACTCCCTGCGCCCAGCGCGCGCCGCGAATATCCGAAGCTCTGCGAACGCCCGCGGGGCGCTTCCGCCTCACCTTGCTCCTCGGGGTCTCCGGGGCCATCCTGCTCGCGCGCCCACAAGCCCGCCGCGCGCCCGCGCCCACTCACGCGCCCCTTTCTTGAGAGAAGCGGCTAGAGCTCGAACAAGCCGCCTGCAGACGTCGGGAGCGGGATTGTACGACCCTTGGTCGTTCAAGGGGGAGACGAGTAGGGCTTTTTGCCGTCTTCCCCCTCCCTTTCTTTTCCATCTTACGCTTTGGAAGAAGTTATGCCCTCAGCGCTGTTTTAACAGCTCCTTACCAGGTCTGCTGGGCAGAGGAGCTTGTGGTTGGGGTCTCCGTGCGCACTGGGCACCAAGGACTCTCCCCGAGATCGGAATGGAACAGTCCGGTGGCGGGAGATGCGATGGGGCTGAGCGGCGCGGGTTCTTTCGAAACTTTTCCCGCAGAAAAGAGTCGCGGGGGTATAGATACAGGGGCAGTTGTTCCAGTACCCTACAAGTCTTCACGGGGGGGTGAACCGAGGCCAATATTGGCGCCTACCGGAATACAGTACATCTTTCCCCGCCTTTTGGGGGCGTGGAAGCCGTTCAAACTGAGAGTCGCCGCCTTTTCCCCTAGGCCTGGCTCCAAACATTACCAGCTGCAGTTGCAGGCGGTCATTCGCCAGGTGATACTTTCCCCCTGCTTAAAGATGTAGGACTCAACGGGAAGTATGTGCATCTTGGATTAACCGGGCTATTACGCAGCTGTGAGCGATGCAGACGACCTGTTGGGAACCATAGTTAGATCTTATATACACGAAGTTGTAAAAGGAATCAAAAACTTTCACTGCCCTCAATTGCGTAGGGAAAAGCCCAGAATTGAATCTCAAGGAGGGATTGCAACGAGCAAGGACAATTCACCCATCCTCAACGTGAGCGGAAAACAGAGATGTACCAATCTTTAATTCTCTACATAATGACTCAAAGCTGCTAATGCAGCCTGGATCTGGTCTTCTGAAGTTTAAACAGTCTAAATTCTAGATTAGCCTTAGGCTATCCCAAATCATTTGTTAAAGTCATTGGGAAACTACTTCCTATGAATTAGTGAGTGATTACAAAAACACATTTGTCTGTAAATGTACTCTCAAGCAGGGTGTTCATATTGAATACAAAAATAAGACTAAAGCAAAGTATTTAATAGACATTGCTCTCTTGAGAACTGGCATGGATGTGACACTGAGATTTTGCTTACAATATTTACAATTTTGTCCTACGTATGGATACCAAAGTTTTATTCAAATCTCTTAAGCTACATAACTTAAATTTATTTTACATCCGCTGGCCCCCTTTGAAAAGAGATCAGAAAGTCAAGCTGATTTCTGATCTTCAAACTTGTAACTGTACAGTTCTAGTTTTGCTGAGATCTCAGCCTTCAAGTCAATTACATATGCTGTGTATTTAGATTTCTTTTAGACCCCTTCAAAACAGGTACAGTGATCAAAGTGAGCTTTTAATTTGAAATGGGTATTTTTTTAAAAGGCACACCAACTTCTCACTATTTCATTATTCAAAGGCTATATTACAGTCTTTCTGGTCCTTTTGAAAATAAATGCAGGGTTGAGTTTGTGTTTCATGCTTAAAATGCAGGATGCTGTTCTGCACAGAACTTTTATTCTAGTATCCAACTATTCCCTGGTCTCATTTAGTTATCACATTACAATCAAACTTACACAGAAAAAGCCAAAGGGTCAAATTGAACCAAATACATTTCTGCTTTCACCTAGTGAATGAATATTGAGATTTAATAACCTCTTCAGCTGAAAAACACTCTTCACACTGCTCAGCAAGATAGAACGCCTGCCTAAACTTTACAAAATTGTGTCCTTCCATGAGAACATACACACCAACATCCAGTTATGACAGCTCATTCTCCAGCACTTTCTCTATAAACAGCAGTGTGAAACAATATACCAATACAGTGGTATCTCGGGTTACATATGCTTCAGGTTACATGCGCTTCAGGTTACAGACTCCGCTAACCCAGAAATATTACCTCGGGTTATGAACTTTGCTTCAGGATGAGAACAGAAATCTCTTTGGTATATACTTTCCTCTGTTGCTTTCCTATGCCTTCAGCTCAACTTTCATTTCAGCTGTACTTTCATTCAAGGAATGATGGGGGTCTGTTCAACCTGGCATGTCTCCGTGCCAAGACAAGTGCAGCTTGTTCCACATTTTCCTGTCTCTGTCTGCCAGAACCTATAAAAACAATTCTGCAACTTTAAAGCTAAAGTTTGTTTTCTCTTCTCACCATCCCATTTTCCTTTTGCATCATGTCTATATGTGGGCCTTGGGGTGGGGAAGAAGACACGTTCCATGATGGATCTGATTCCTGCCCACTGCTGTAGCTGAGTGTTTAGGAAACTCTGGTACTCTGTTTCTAGTGTAGATTTGAGTCCTGGGAGCCCCCTCTCTTTTGCCTCTGACATGACTGTTTCTGGCTAGATGCTCAAAAGTAAATAGGGCCATATTCACCCTTTCCATCTCTTGCTTCCCAGCCCTACACAGTGATCTACTGGGGAGTCCATGATCCTTGTTTATTACTTCTTTATTTATAAACCACTTCTCAGCCCGAGACTATCAAAGTTATTTACAACAGAATTAAAATAGAATAAAATAACCATTCTAAAAACAAAACCATTCCTACAGATGTAAAAGTAATATTTCATAAGTGACTGGGTCACATCGCAGTCAAATACGTCTTCAGCAAGCAACTAAACATGATGACTCTGGGTGTCTGTCTAATTGTAGCTGGTAATTGATTCCCTGTGCATCTGTGGCTGCCCTTGTTTGCATGTCATGGCTGCCGCCTTTGACTACTTTTCTCCCTGTGTCCCAGGGGACCGAGTGTACTCGCTGCAGGCCTCTTCAGCAGATAGCAATGTGCGAGTTGTCTTTTGTGACCCCTTCTTCCTCCCTTTGGTTGTTGTGCACCAAAACAGATGTGAGGAGCATACGGTGAACTGAATCCCTGATTGTACAGATATTAGGCACCAGCACTGGTGATGCAGGGGATGAGCTTGGGACCTGTACCCCTGCCTCTGACACTATTGGCTCCCTTTGTATGTGGACACCTTTGCCAGTGTAGTCCCCACATGTCAGTCTCTGGCAGTGTTTCTTGGGATGCTGGAGATGTGTCTAAGGTTTTGATACCATATAGGGATTTTCTGAATTTTGAGTTTTCTCTTCCTCACAGGCTGAACATAAGGGAAGTAGCAGATCAGCAGCATATCTCCTGTCCCAGTGTCATTAGAATATACAGTGGTACTTCGAGTTACGAACTTAATTTGTTCCAGAGATCCGTTCTTAACCTGAAACCATTCTTAACCTGAGGTACCACTTTAGCTAATGGGGCCTCCTGTTGCCGCTGCGCCACTGCCACACGATTTCTGTTCTCATCCTGGGGCAAAGTTCTTAACCCAAGGTACTACTTCCAGGAGTCTGTAACCTGAAGTGTTTGTAACCCAAAGAGTTTGTAACCCAAGATACCACTGTATAGGAATGGTCGGCACAGGTTATCCAGCCCACCGTTCTCGTTTTTTAGTTAGAATCAGTGCTTTTTTTCTTTAAAAAAAGTTTAGGGATACTCTCATTTTCCTACTCATATTGAAATACTGCCCCTCAGTTAGGCCAAGCTTAGATTCACAAGAAATAAAACATTAAAAAATATGCAACCAAACTGAACAATTTCCACATAAATGACAACAAAATCTTAAAAAAAGATACAAAAAAACTAACAGCAACCGCCCTTCCAACAAAAAAAGCACCGAACACCCGAACTCAAGAGATTGACACAAACTAACCAGTCAAACATACGGACCCTCAAACATACACACCCTATAGCTTTAATCACCTTGGGCTATCCTTGCTGCTACCAAACCAGCTTCTATGCTAACCTTCTTAGCCTAAATTCCAAATGTGCAGATGCTAGTAGTGGTTAATCAGTGGCAAGGAAAATGCTGTCTGCACAAGTTCAAATGTACTCTCTTCTTTTGGATATTACAGGGCTGAGTGCTAACTTTAGAACAAAGACCACCTCCAGACCTCCTTTTTATTGCAAATCCATGATGACTTGTGCTCACGGTGCTATCAGGGCAGTCATATATTATCTCACTTTCAGTACTGTTTGTACTGTACTTGAAAAAGTTTTGGGATGCTCACATTGCTTCATTTCCGATCAGTGCATATACCATAACTCCCTTCTCTGGAACATTTCAGACCACAAATGTTTGGGTTTATTCCCTACCCCACCCCACTCTTTTGTTGTGCTATAGCCCTTCCAGACAACCATAATGTGGTCAATAACATCTTGCAGAATACACCCGCGATAAAACACCAGTCTGGAGGGACCCAAAGTTTCAGCTTCAGAAAAGATAAACTCTGGCTTACAACAACCCCTTATGTTACTGCTTTAGAAATGTCTATAATCTCCACCTGTAGGCTGCAGAACAGACGTATGCATATACAGTGGTACCTCGGGTTACATACACTTCAGGTTACAGACTCCACTAACCCAGAAATAGTACCTCGGGTTAAGAACTTTGCTTCAGGATGAGAACAGAAATCATGCTCCGGCGGCGCGGCAGCAGCAGGAGGCCCCATTAACTAAAGTGGTGCTTCAGGTTAAGAACAGTTTCAGATGAAGTACGGACCTCCAGAACGAATTAAGTACTTAACCAGAGGTACCACTGTACATCCACTAGTGTTCATGTAGTTTAGCAATGAAAGCAATATTTGATCTGACACAATGTAACAAGCTCTCATTGATTATGATATTGTCATCCAATTAAAAACATCCTTGGCTACATTTCAGACTATATCAGAGCTAATGGTGGTGAGTAAAGGGGCTGCCCACCCACAGAACCATCACATTACTGTACATCAAATCACAGCCTATTTAAATGTTAGTTTGCATTGCATCTCCCCAACAGAGAAAGATACAGTTGCCACTTATGGGTGTGAATAAGGAGCTTTATTGAAACGGGGGAAATAAAGTGGGGGAAATGAACACTACCAAAGTTTCTTGTGAAAGTGGAGACTCCTGTGTTCTCAAGATGCTTTTTATGGTTTCTGTTTTTGCCTGTCCTGGCATTCAACATTAGGAAGCATTTCCATTTAGGAAAGCTGTCCAGGAGTTCATGCAAACCATGAAGGACTGATCTGAAATGACTGCAGTAGAATGTCCTGTACATTTCATTGAATTAAAATTGCACTGCATTATAATACAAATGTGCAGCTACCTTCAGAACTGTCAAATATTCTTTGGAACTGTATAATATCCAGGGCTATTTTATCCAGCTTGCTGCTTTCTTCCCTCTTTTTTTTAAACTTTACACTTTTATACAGTTATCCTTTTTATATGCAGTCATTCTTTTCACCAGTATTTCATTTTAAAATGTTTGGCGATTAGGCTGTTCTTTCTGCTTTTAACTTAACAATAGAGTCCACTTCTTCATTTTACTGGAATTAATTTGGCTGTAACCTCCCCAACTGTATCTCAAATACCTCTCACTTTACCACTGTGGATTTCCCATGCATTACTGAATTTCTGCCACTTTTCAAAAACCTCTTTTCACCTTTACTTCAAAGTCTTCTCCTCTAAGCTCTGATCGTCTTTGTGTTATTACCTTTTCTATAGACTCTCATCAGTGTCTTCAGACTTGATGTTATAGCTAGATCCTAGGTGCTCTTCAGCTGCAACCCGATATATCACATTTGGTGTATTTTATAACTATTGGGTCTGGACTAGCCTTTGACTTTTCTCATCATCTTATGAGAGTATTTCTGATGATTGCCCAGCCCTTTGAATATAAACCATGCAGTGAAATTCATAACCATAATTCTGCTCGAGACTTATGATACACCCTATAATTGGGCTGAAGCACTTTTGAACTGCTGCTTTCTGAGCAGAATAAATGTGTACATGAAGACATTATTAGCTGCTATGAAAACGTACCACATCTGTCCACTTATACAAGTCCCCTTCATTGTAGTCTTATAGTGGCATAAAATATAATTATACAATAAGGGCATCATCTGTTAAATGACCTTGCAAAAGGGGGCAAGTATGTTTTAATTGAATAAATACTGTATCTTGATGTTTTGTTTGTTGATTCTCAAAATACAAGCAGTAAACTAAAATCCATTTTTCATTCGTGCTTCTAACAGTTTCTAATTTGGGGGTCGTGGGGTCCATTGTAATAAGCACTCTGAAGATTTCTGATCCCAAGTTCCTGCCACCACATTTCTCCTAGACCTGTCAAGCATTTTAAGTAGCCTGCACTTTCCCACACTTCTCAATGAATACTGACATACCTAACTTAAAAGGATTACTTGCTGCTGAGAGGAATTGTAATCCTCTTTTTCCTGCTCTGTAAATCCTCCGGTAAGTAAAAAAGAACGGCTGAGACCTGTTTGGCAATGCAGGGTAATCACCATCTCATAAGATATAGCTCCATACCAAAAAAACCAAAACAAAAAACCTTAAAATTTACTTATGGTCACACTTGTCCAGGCACAGAGTCTAGGTGTTTTAATCGACGACTCTCTCATTTCCTCAGCCTTTCAATATTTGTACTACTTTTTAATTAAAAAAAAAACATTTTTTTATATCCGCAGTTTTAATGTCAGCCATTTGCATAAGAGCCTGAATCTTATAGACAACACAATAAAATGTTACTCCACATGATACAGGCAAGAAAGCTTGTCAGCTCCTTGTGCTTTTTAGATTTCCTTTTTAGCTAACAACATTCACAGATCTTATTTGTGGTCATGAGCAGCTTATGGATTTCACTACAGAAGAATTGCAGAAGTTCCATTCAAACAATAAAGGAGGAGGATTCATTCTTATTCTTTCCTTGCTTACATGCAATATATTAACTTGCTGTTGGTGGTTCAGTGTAGGGTTAAATCTAGACTTTGATCTAGGCTTGTCCTTCTGTAAACGAAAGGACTGCTTCGATCTAGAGGCTTCCTCTGGTGGATGTGAGGAGGTGATTTTCACCAATTCCCACCCACCCAGTCCCCACACCACCTTACATACTACTTTGAAGGATCCATTAACTCTCGAGTAGTTCTGCAGAGCACAGGAGGGTGCAGGAGGAAAGGGGATCAGTGAAAATTGCCCTTTCCAGTAGCAGGAGCATCCCATTCCCATAAATGTGATGTGTTATGGATCCAAGTCAAAGCCTGCATACCTTATACAGTGGTACCTCGGGTTAAGTGCTTAATTCGTTCCGGAGGTCCGTACTTAACCTGAAACTGTTCTTAACCTGAAGCACCACTTTTAGCTATTGGGGCCTCCTGCTGCTGCCGCACTGCCGGAGCACGATTTCTGTTCTCATCCTGAAGCAAAGTTCTTAACCCGAGGTACTATTTCTGGGTTAGCAGAGTCTGTAACCTGAAGCGTATGTAACCCGAGGTACCACTGTACAGCCAAACGATCTGTATTTGGGCTGCCAAACTGCTCTCTGGTGCTAATGTTCCATCACCAGGTAGCCACAAAGCATAACACAATGCTTTGTGACCTGGTAGATGTGGCAACTCTTCCTAAGTACATATGCGCTGGGACAGTTTCTGATGACTACATCTTGGAGCAACTTACTATTTCCTAAACTAGCCAGCAACAATACCTAAAAATGTGCTGAGTTTTTAAGTGGGTCTATTTCCAATTAACAGAGATTAAGGAATCATCTTTCAGCAACACTTGAACTGCCATGATCTTGCTCTTGGTTTGCAGAGGTTTGGTCACTAGCTTAGCCTAGAAGAACTAAGAGTTCTTCTCAATGCCTTTTTTTCAGCCCGAGCACAGTTCCGGCACCTCTCAGGTGGGTGCCAATGCGGGCCAGCGCTCCCTCCATCGGCTTCTTGCCTTTACATGCTTCTGAGAAGCCCAAAATGAACAGTTCAAGTCAAAATGGAAGCTGGCCAATGTGTGAGAATCTACACTTCATCCATCTGGGCAGGCACCTTCTACTCGCAACAGCAGCAGCATCCCAGAGTCTCACACAAAGTTATTTCTCATTCCTGCTGCCCAAGATAACTTTTCCTGGAGATGCCATGGACCTTCTGCATACAAATTATGCACTCATCACTGAGGTGTGGACTCTTGGCAGATTAGAGTTGTTCTTTTCTGCTAGGCCTTGCATGGAAATTTTTACAGGGTTCTTTAAAGCACAGATTCCCCATCAGCCACCTCATGAATTAAGAAAAGGAGGAAAACGTCATACATAAAGCATGCTTTCCTTCTGGCTTATACTCTATCAGTGGTGGTTTCTTCATAAGAGTTGGTATTTCTTATCTACTATCAATGCTATTCACTTATGAATCTTGCTTAGTTTGGTAAATAGCAGGCATTAATCAGAAAAGGAGTACTTTAAGGGTATTTGCTATGTAAGCCTGCAGGTGAAGAAGATCAGGTTCTGTCCAAAGAGGAGGACATTTTATAGGGTTTCGGCAGTCTCTTTTAAGTATGAAAAGTGGGCACACATTGCCTGTCATTTAAGTGCTTAATAAACATGAACCCAAAGCTTGTATTTTTTCAACTTTCAGTTTCCAACTCTACATTTTGTGTCCAACTGCATTCTAAAAAAACCTTGAATGTTTTAGCTTTGTTTTTATTCTGGCTGTGCTTGGTTTTTTTAAAAAAAAAATAAAAATTCAGGCCTTAATGTCTAATATTATTGACCACCGCTTTGTGGGTTTGTTTGTTTTTTCAATCAAGCAGAACATCAATATTATGAAACAAATTGATTTCAATGGGACTTAATCATGACCAACTTTTCACATTGGTTTCTATGGGAGTTAAGTGCAATTACCGTATTTCTCGCCCTATAGGACATACTTTTCCCCCTCCAAAAATGAAGGGGAAATGTGTGTGCGTCCTATGGGGTGAATGCAGGCTTTCGCTGAAGCCTGGAGAGCGAGAGGGGTCAGTGCGCACCGACCCCTCTTGCTCTCCAGGCTTCAGGAAGCTATCCGCAAGCCTTGGGAGCCCGCGGGAGTTCCCGCCGGGCTCCCAAGGCTTGCGGATAGCAGCCTGTTCTGGGGGCTGGGGTCGGGGGAAGCTAGGGCTTCCCCTGCCCCAGCCCCACGCCTGGGGGGGAAATATATTTTTTTTCTTTATTTCCCCCCCAAAAAACTAGGTGCGTCCTATGGGCCAGTGCGCCCTATAGGGCGAAAAATACGGTAATTTAGTCTGGATCCAGTCCATTGTATATTAGGGTGCCATTTTATGTTACAGAATGCAGGGAAGAAATTTGAAATGGCTATTTTTGTTCTTTTGTTCAACACATACATAAATGCATGTTTGAATCCTACTATAAAGTCAACTCGGTTACTGTTATTTCTTAACTGGGCAGTTTATAACCATGTATGTATATGTATATAGAAATATATGTGACAGCTGAACAGAACGCTTTAGGCACGTGATAAAGAAAGCCTTGATCCATGAAGGTTTATGTCACAATAAATCTATTTGTCCTTTAATGGTGATGGGGAACGGTGAGGATCTGGCAGATATTGTCACAGCAGAACTCCCATCATTCCTGGCAATTAGCCATGCTGGCTGTAGCTGATGGGAGCAGCAAACCAACATCTGGAGGGTCAAAGGTTTCCCACTTCAGATCTAGGGTTTCCTGAGTCCTAGATACCCAGATTTTCCAGGAGGTATCCACGTTAGTCTATGGCAGCAAAAGCAACAAAAGAACCCTGAGGTATCTTAAAAGATCAAGGTATTTATTATAGCATAAGCTTTCATGGACTTTCAGCTGAAAAGAGAACTCAAAGCCATGAAACTTGATGCCATAATAAATTTGTTAGTCTTTAAGGTGCTGCAAGGCTCTTTGTTGTTCTAGATGCCTAGCGTAAGCCGCATAACCCGCTTACCGGTTCTTTGAATACGCCATAGTGCTAAAGTACTATCATTGGGTCTTTTTATTACAATTTAATGCACAGATAAGGCAATGAATCAATCAGAAGACCCTGAAAAGTCATTGCATTTTCTTCTTTCAGTTGGAGCACCTCAAAAGAAATAGATTCCGGGGGAAGGGTTATATCTTCTAAATTTAGGATATGATTAACTCCTCTTCTAATGCCTTGGAGTGCTTATCCTCTTCTGCAAATTGTCAATATTATCCCCCTTAATTATGTAAACTGAGAATGAACATCTAAAAATGCAGGCAGTTTAAGTAGTAGATATTTATATTTTCACAGCATCTTTCTCACTCTATTTTGATTATTTAAATTTGCAGCTGTCCTCTCGTTGCTGAGATTCTTTCTCCACCCACTAGATTCAAACATTTCTCATCTCTTGTAGATTCTTTTTTCCCTGTTTTTACACTCGTTTGGGTGTCATTTAATTTTACAAGGAACAAAGCTTGCCTTTATTCTCAGTTTTTTTCCTCTCCTAGCAAAACTAAACAGCAGCCAAAACAACAGCTTTTCTCAGATTTCTATAGAATTTGGAACAAATGAAATCTTGTAGAATTTGGAACAAACAGAAACAAATGAGGAACAAAGCAGCGCCAAAAACAGATATACTGACTGTAGAAACATGTTTTTTAAAAAATTCATAAAGCAATGATTATACCTTAGGCCCACTTCATACAATATGTCATTTCTGAGTAGGAAATTGCTTGAATCCTACCAGTTGCGGTAAGATCCACCAATTGTGTCTCCCTGTTCTCTATGCACACTGAAATTGTGAAATATGTGAGTATGAACTAAGTTAGGAAAAATGAAGGAAAAGATCGTACTGGGGAGGAAAAGTCTCTTATTACTAAACAATATATTACTCAGTAGTCTGTCTACAGATTAATACTCAAAATAAAAGGCCCAAATAAAGGTGGAAGAGGAACTTGCACCATTGCTGAAATCAAACGTACATTTGGGTGCCATTGCTAACAATAAGAAACCTCATAGAAAATTTAGTTCCTATTTTATGAGGTAGCAATTTTACAGCAAAGCTCCCTGGAGAGGGAATATATCTGTGGAGAGCACACAGAATGGACTGCAAATGCTACTAGGGCTATTTATGAGAATAAATCAACCAAAAATCAATTGGGGCAGATATATTTTCCCAAAGCCAAATAAATATTTGTCAGCCTTTGTTACTAGGTTCGTAATTAATATTCTTTCTTGAAAACAACTACATTTATAAAGTTTTTGCAGAAAATTCTGGTTTGGTTATTGTTTAGTGGGCAGGAATAGGCTTATCTCACTTTCCCAGAAAGAAGCACTGGTATAGAACAGCTATGGAAACTTGCCACGCTGCCCCAGGAATAACATAATGGTTAAAAAAACCAATGCCAGGAAATTATCTGAATCCTCAACCCTAAAATTCAGTTCACGAGACATTTCGAAAAGCTGTTGTCTTTGAGTGCTCTGCTCTTGTTTTAGGATTAGATAAGCTCCTTTTCCAAAATCAAACTACAACTACATTCTTCTTCTCCCCCCCCCCCCTACAACCACAATCTTCTTGAAAGGTTAGCTGTAAAGCAGCTAGCCATCTCATACTGAAACTATCCTTGTTTTTATTCTGTTGATTTGTAATGAAAACTGGTGTTCAGAGATGGGCAAAGCATAGATGTGACCTAATTTGCATCTTTGTTTAACTCCCTGCAGAAAAACACTGCCTGCTTCTTGTACAGAGCCTTTTACCATTATCAGTGTATGTTATCACCTAATAATGCGAATCATATTTAAGGATGCAGAAGAAATTCAATTCAGTACACATTTAGATCATAGAATCAGGGTTGGAAGGGACCCTGAGGATCATCTAGTTCAACCCCGTGCAATGCAGGAATATGCAGCTGTCCCATATGGGGATCAAACCTGCAACCTTGGTGTTATCAGCACCACACTCTAACGGTCTAACCAACTGAGCTATCCAGGCTGATAAAAGGAAGGTCATTAATAGACACTGAAAATATCATAGAATCCTGAATCCATCAAAGTTGCACTTTCTAAAACAATATATGAACCAAAACACAACTATCCTTCAAAACTACCTTTCAGCTACACTTTAAAGGTCACTTACCCCAAATAATCTGTTCACTGAACGTTCACCCCAGTTTGATTGCAGGGAAATTAGACGATGTAGGCTATTTATTGAGGATTCATTCTGACCAGTTTGAGGAAAATCAGACGAGCCTTGCATCAAGTAAATGTTATGCCACACTTCCTAGTGCATTTTCCTGACCCTTACCTTATTGCAGGAAGTCTAATATTGGGGGAAGCACATTTGCTGCGCAAGGGTGCAAAGTCAACTTGAATTGTGCAACTTGAATTGTGCAACTTGAATTTGCTGGTATGCAACTGATCCTACCAGAAAATAGAGACAGACTGGAAGCATCCTAAAAGGCCACAAAGTGGTGCCCAAGTCTATAGTGCTGCTGACTGATTGGAGAGAACCTAGGAAACAACAGGGGCGGGGGTGGTGGGATTGGAAGGCAAAACAATTGATGCATTAATCAGACAGCCTCAGCTGGCTACCTAATGAGGCACAGGGTTAAGAATGTTGGTTTCTGACCTGGGTTCAAATCAGTGATGAGCAATGAGCTTACTGAACAGCACTCAGCTTGTTAAGTCTCTTAAGCATGAATTCCCTTGCTGGTGGCATAGAAATATAAATGACCTGACTCGCAGGCTGCACTGAACAAGATAAGGATCATAAACCTTACATGCCAAGTGTGTTATCGAAATGCATGTTTGTAACGTTAGCTTAACTATCTAAAATTAAATATTTTAAGTGATAGGAACACAGCAGTATGGCATTTCTGCACCTTAGCAGGCGTGCACTCCGCCACTGGCAGTGCTCAAAGTAGGGGGGGGATGTCATCCCACTGTATTTGGGTCTGGCCTAATCTGAAATGAAATCACCACACTTACTTTTCTCTCCAACTTTCAGTACAGGTCACTGCAGAACACCAATGATGGTGGTTCAGTGAAGGGCATTGTTAGGAGAAGGTTCATGGAGTCTGAGCTCTGGGTCTTTTGTGCCAGCCCTCCCTTTTCTTTCATTTTTTTTTTAAAAAACTGTACTTACAAGACAAATGGGTGCACTGCAAAGTGCAATGCTGGTGAGACACCGGTCATCCACCATTTTAATTTGCCCAGAGGCATATGTACTTATAAATTAGTATGTGCAAGTTTCATGTACATTCATATGGCATGTGCTAGTACCCAGAGAACCCTTAATGTTCCTAGCAATGCCCTGGGTTCAACTAGTCTGATATTTTTTAAGAGGCAGTGAGAAAAAATGCTATACTCCTCCTCTCTCGAAACACACTATCAGACCATTTTAGGACATGTTATAGTAGACATCCTGAAACTGCACCATTTCAGAATGCTGGTGGGAGATCAAAAGTCTGAAAGACTAAAAGATATTAGGTTAAATATTCACATCACCAATCTAAGATGTTTAGTTGGAAATAAAAACCGAAGCTTAAGTTACTGCTTTTCCTTTTTGTGTGTTTTAGTTTCCACTCTGTTTAAAATAAAAAAGGAATAAAATATGTTTCTAATATTATTACAACTAATTATTTCATATGAAAGACTTTTTAAAAAACTTTGAAAGGACATTTAAACATATTCTCTAGCATGCATGCATGTACAAATCACATCAGTCTTTCTCAATCAAAAGAAAACACACATATAATATTTGGCACATTCCCTTTTGGCTGTTTTTGTTCGTATTTGGTAGGTGAGGTGGCCAGTCACCAGTTTTACTGGGTCCTGTACAGCAGCCTGAGGTAACATTTTCTGGCATGAAGATAAAACAGGAGACTTCCCTCTCATTTCTTCATGTGTCAGAGAGGAGCAAGGTCAGAAGATAAAATGGAAGAGGGGCTTTTATTTTAGGGAAGGACAAGGACTCATTTCTAGAACATGTGTCTTCCATGCAGAAGTTCCCTGGTTCAGTGCCCTAGCATGTCCAAGGTAGGTCTGGGAAGGCTCCAGGCTGATACTCTGGTGAGTCCTTGCCTATCTCCAAACACTGTGCTAGATGGATCAATGCTCTGACTAAATATACAGCAGCTCCTTTGCTCTTAGCAACCTTATCTGAACAGCAAGTAAAATTAATAAGAATAAAATTCTCCAAAGTGGTGCTAAGGAAAAGGGTCAGGCCTCTCATCAAATATAGCTGAGATATTGTTCTTTGAAGGAAAGTGATCCTGGATAGCCATGTGTCTTGCAAGAGCAAATAAAACTTATTCTTATTGACTATTTTCATGAATATTTACTTCTTTATGCATCGTTTGAGAAATGCTAGGCCAAAGATACAATGCAATCCAAGAGATCAAGGAGCGAGTTGTTTTTAAGCCAACAAACATGCTCTCTCTCTCTCTTTTTACAGTGCACCCACTTGTAAAGTTTTGGTACGGTTTCTCAGTTATAAATCTGTGATGGTTTTTGTGTAGCAACATTGCCATCTGCTGGGCAACAAACTCTACCTTCAATGTTACCCTGTGAATTCACAGGCAGAAAGACAAGGAAATTCTATTTTAAAAGCTCTTTTTCTTTTAAGGAACAAAGTAAGTTTGACTTCTCTTATTTGCTTTGTTCCCTTCCAAGTATTATTTACATATTTCATTTCTTTATATACAGCCGTCTGAAATACAGAGCAGAAATTAGTAATGTGCGGTGTGGGACAAGATGAAAATCCTACACACAGTGAAGTCAACTTAAATATCGTTTCATTTCAGTTGCCTTGCTCCCAGCTAACAGGAACTAGATAATTACAAAACGTGGGTTATCTTTTGCCTAGCAATTACCGATAGATGGCAGAACAACATATAGAAAGCAATCTTTCACATATATCAATCTCAGATTTTCCCCTACATACTGGAATTTGCTAGAAGTGTCTTAGTCATCTCAAAAAACTTAAATTTACAATCTGCATCTTTTATGTAAACCCTATTGATTCCCATACCACTTTTGTAGGTTTTGGTAAGTAGGGAAAAATCAGCACATATATTTAATGTATATAGCACCAAGTGTTTCAAATAGTTTGTCCCTATGTACGAGAGTCAAGGCATGACAAACCACCCCCTCCTGGAGGCCATGTGCAAGCTCCAGCCCTTTCCTTATGACTCTGCAAATACTTTGCCTACTTTTCTCTCTTTCATTCACCCACTCACATATGCATGTATGCACGCACATACACACACACACACACACAGAGAGAGAGAGAGAGAGAGAGAGAGAGAGAGAGAGAAACAGGTCTACATCAACCCAGACCAGCGAACGCTGTGGGTCAAATTGTATTAGAATATAAGCCATATCCAATCTGCAAGCCAGAGGTTAAAATACAAATGCAATACAAATATTAAAACATCTTAATCCACTGAAAACACAAAGACCATCATTATGAAAAATCTGCAACAAAACAACATAGGATTGGAAGACAGAACAGCCATAAGAACCAAATGGATTTCACTAAAGCCATTTAAAATCAGTAGGCATTCAACACCTCTTGACTTAGTTAACTAATTTTGGGGCACACAGAAGAGTCTGTTAATTACCATAATGCTCTGTTAAGATTCATACTCAAGGATGCAGTCCTTCAGGTACCCTGATTCCAAAATATATAGAAATAGTAGCTGTAATTTTGGAAGTGGCACAGCTTTATTACATCCACCAAAATGTCACAAAATGGCTAAATAGTAACTAAACAGTAACTCCTACTAGGAACTTCCATAGTAATGCTTACATGATATTTGGGTTTGCCAGTTATCAGAAGTGATCCTCAAAGACCAAAACAAATGGAAGCTGTTCTCCCTTCTCATCTGTTGTAGATTAACATAGAAATGCTTAAACCTTTGGAAATGCATAAAAAGGAATAACAGCGAGAAGTGGTTCTGTGGGGTGCAGCAAGAGGAAAAAAAGTTTTTGCTTTTTTAACATTTGGGTAGGGAAATGACTGTACTGAACTTACGCAATTCCGATTGTACTTCAAGTGGTGTTAGTAAGTAACAACTCCATTGAAACAAATAGAGAGGTAATGGAATGAAACAACAGTCGTTGAAAAATGTGTATTTATATGCTATTGAATGCTGCTGGCATTTGCTTGCTAGAAATGGCTGTTATAAATGCACATGAATTTATCCATAGTACATCGTATCATGGGAAGCTTTGTTTTGTTGCTGTTGATCATTCTCTCTTATTATTTCTTCAAAGAAATGCAGGGTTATTATCCCAAGCATTAGCCAGCTGGCCTGCTGAAGTTTCCTTTCTGGATTTTCTTTCTAAAAAAAATTCCCCATAGGCTAATCCAAAATAGTTTTTGCCTGCAGAATGTGTTTTGTCATTACTACCTGTCGATTAGAAATTTTATTTAGCGTAGGTGGTACTAATTGTTTACTACTGGGAACCTTATTAGAATCAAAACTGATTGGAATAAATGTGAGCCATTACTATGAATAAAGCTGGATTCTTTTCATCAGATGATTTAGAATTTGTCCTTTTAATGTTTAACTATTTAATGTCAGTTTTGCTTATAATTGCCTAATCAGCAGTTGTATGATGTTCAAGTGATATATGAAATTGCTCTTAAATCAGTGAGACCCTTAAAGGACATGATGTTAAACCAGGGATGTCGAACCCCAGGGGCCTTCTAGCTATTGCATTACTAGTTCCATTATTTCTGGTCATTGACCATGCTGGCCACTAACATTTGAGGGTCACTTATTTCTCCATACCTATGCCAAGTAATTGGAATTAACCAGATGTGAAAAATAGGGGGATTTAAGATGACCAAGTACAGTGTATTGGTCACTTCTAACATGTTGGCATAATATGATGCATCGACTTAGGGAACAGATTGTAGCAATAAAAATAGCACAGCCAGTGTTACCTTGCCCTGACTTTCTTTCAGTTTGTTGTGTTTGCAGAGTACAATAAGACTGGCTTCATTGCAATGCTGTTCACTACAGGATGACTTGCTTCCCACATGAGCAGAACCACTCTGTCTAGCGGACAAGCTTACTTGTTGCACCAGCTTAGGTCATCATACAGGGCGACCAAAGCAGTTTCTGGGCCAAAACTGGGCCAAAACCCCGATTGAAATGGATCCAGAAAATCTGTTTCTTTCAAAAGCGTCTGGATCTGGTCGCTTCAGAACCTTGCTCATGAAAGGGAGATTAGCAACTGGCCAGTAGATAGTTAGTTTTCCAAATCCAGGGAAGGTTTCTTAAGGAGTGGTTTTACCACTGCCTCCTTCAAACAGTCCCATTGCAGCATGGTATCTTGCTGTGAAAATGATTTCCTTTGGTTCTCTACAACAGGCATCCTCAACCTCGGCCCTCCAGATTTTTTTGGCCTACGATTCCCATGATCCCTAGCTAGCAGGACCAGTGGGTCAGGGATGATGGGAATTGCAGTCTCAAAACATCCGGAGGGCCGAGGTTGAGGAAGCCTGCTCTACAACATACATTGTTGTTTTTAACATACATACATTTTTTTTTTTTAATATTTTTTTATCTAATTCTTGTGTTGTTTCAAGGTGCATGCAAGTTTCATCTCTCTCTGTCTATATATATAAGACTCATAAATCATAGAATCATATCTTCTACATTAAGAGAAGCTGGCAGAGGTGGGAGTGTGGGAAGCAGGGAGGTACTGGCCCAGAAATGCCATGGGGTGCTTGGCACAGATTCTGAAATCACCTATTCCCATCAGCTCCAGCCAGCATGGCCAGCGGTTAACCCTCAATGAATCACAGAATTGTAGAGTTGGAAGGGACCAGGAGCGTCATCTATTCTAGTCCAATCCCTTGCAATGCTGGAATCTTTCGCCCAATGGGGGGTTTGACCTCAAACCCACAACCCTGAGATTCTCATTCTCTACCAACTGAGCTATCCCAAGTTATAGACAACCAACATCCTGGAGGGCCACTCAGGGGTATATCGGGGGTGGGGCAGGGAATGGCAGCTGCCCCCTCCCATATCAATAAAAATACATAGCTAACTGAGGTTCTGTCCCCTCCCCAACAAAAGGCCAGCCCCACCCCCAACAAAAATCCTGTTTATGCCCATGTGGCCCCTGGTCATTATTTATAAATTTGAAACTCCACATGTAAATGCACATATGCAAATTTTATGAAAAACTGCACAACTCTTTTTCCGCAGGGGAAACAGCAGTGCGCAAGTGGTCACCCTATTTGTTCTTGCCTTCATTAGCTTTGCAGATGTCCAATGGGAGAAATATAAAATAGCCTGCAACCTGTTTAAATAATTATTTAGGGGACAAAGGCTCAACAAGAAAGACCTGGTTATGTTTAGAATGATACCGCATAGAGAAATGCTCCCTGATACCAAGATGAGGGATTCCTTTGGTTTGCAGATAGAGAGAATTGATAAGAATAATGATCTGTTGTGAACTTGACGGAAGTGTACAATAGATGAGCTTTCCTGTTTTGGCTCATCTTCCTTTTTCTTTTTTCTTTTCTTTTCCATAGTTGCTTATGTTCTGTGCCATGTATTTTGATATTTTTTGTAGTTTTTTAGTTTTTTCCATTATTATTATTAAGGTATTTTCTTTTGTAATTTTGGTTGTATATATTTATATGTATTTGTTTAGAGCAAAATAAAAGTATTTAATAATAATAAAAAGATAGCCTGCAACCTACACATGGGTTACGTTCCAGGGATTGTGCCTAAAGTCAAAATCATAAAACTGTAGAGCTGGAAGGGGATCCAAGGGTCATCTAGTCCAACCCCCTGCAATGCAGGAATCCTGCCCACAGCAGTCCCTGGGTGGGCTCGAACCACCAACCTTCTGGTTCACAGCCGGATGCACTGACCCTTTGCCAAAATCTACTGGGTCCAATGCTGGGTGGGACTGCCAAAGTCATTTCTCCCAGAACCATGCACCCATTCTGCTCCCTTTTATTTCTTTAGACACGTGCAAAAAAAGCTGAATGTGCGTAAGTTAAATGCATGTTAAGTTATGGCCTTACTGACTGTGCTGCAACTAGCATTTTTTCAGAGTCCCTGTCAGGGTGGAAAAGGCAGTGTATGAATGAATAATATAATTAGTTCCCGTGTTTTCCTCCTTGCAAATAACGGTAGAAAAGAGACTCACTCCATTTGTTTTTTTTTTTTTTTTTTTTTAAATATTTTATTAAGGATTTTCTTGTTTTACAGAAGTGTAGTGCCTCGTATTTTTTTTTACCCATGTAACATTTTTACAAATCCGTTTCATTTGTTGAGGCATTATGGGGAGAAGAAAAACAAAGAAAAAAGACAATGGGGGTGGAGAGAGGGAGATGGATGGGGGTGGGGTCGGGTGGCGGTGTTTCTATTATGTTTAATGTATGTAGAGTTTGGTGTCAGCGTTGCTTGTGTTGTTCACTTGTGTTCCTTTGGTGGTGAGAGAGGTTGGGGTTGGCCTAGGGTGTGATTGTTTGCTTGTGATTGGCTGTGGTGATCTTTGTTTTCGTGTGTGAGTGAGGTGGGTGGGTGTTTTGGATCAGGTTAGCCATATTGATTTGTATGCTGTTGGTGGATTATTGTCATTGTCCTGTTGGGCTGTGTATGTGATAAATGGGAGCCATACCGGGGTGAAGGCGTCTTCTTCTGTTTGTCCCGTGTCAGTTTCAGTTTATTAGTTAATTTTTCTAGTAGGGCTGTTTCCCATACTATTTGGTACCATTGGTCCATGCTTACTCCTGACAGGTCTCTCCAGTGTCTGGTTATGGTGTTTCTGGCTGCTGAGAGCAGGTGGGTTATGAGTTCTTTGTGGTGTAAATGGGCATTGTTGTCTTGGAAGATGTTTAGTAGGGCCAATTCTGGGGTGATGTCTATTACTTGCTTAGTTATTTTACATATTTCTTGTATGGCTGTTGTCCAGAATAGTTGGATTTTGGGACACTCCCACCACATGTGGAGGTATGTGCCTGTGGAGGTGCACCCTCTCCAGCATTTTGGTGAGGTTCCTGGGTGTATTAGCGCTAGTTTCCTTGGTGTTAGGTACCACCTGTAGGTGAGTTTCAGTGTGAGTTCTTTTCTTTTCGTTGATATGGATTTAAAGGGGGGTTTAGACCACATTCTGGTCCATTGAGTGGGGTTAATCTCGTAACCTATGTCATTCTCCCATTGTTTTTTGATTGCGTCTAGGGGATTTACAGGATTTTGGAGTATTAACATACATACATTACTGTATACATACATAGATTGCTTTGCGATATAAATTGCTTTGCAATATATGTTATTTATATATTCATTTATGGGTGCCTCTTCCCATCTATATTTTCTGAAGTTTTTTTGCTGTCAAAGGCAGCTTATGTGCACTAAGACTGCAAGCCTAACCACATCTATATCCACAGAAGTAAACCCCACTGAATTCAGTGGTGCTTACTCCCAGAGGTGTTGATTAGAATTTCAACCTTAATCTGCATCTTATTGTGAATTTAAAAAACCAGTGGACTACATCTCTCACTTTTCTTTTCAAAAAGTTATTTAAAGTCCTCTTAAAGTGCTCTTCTTTGTCAATGTGGGGAGAACCACCTGGATTTGACTCCACATTTTGACCACCTGAAGGGTGTTTTCTTTTATCTTGAGTTATAATCAGACCACCCTTCCCCAATTCCTGACTGGGGTAAATGGGATAGGACGACAAATGTATAATGAATTGTGAAATCAAGTAGTGAAAGCAGCTGCAGTCCTAGCCCCTTGGCTGGTAGCATGACACACTGCATTCAGTGGAACTTACTTCTGAGTAGATATCGTAAGGTTTGCAGCCATGGATGGCTTTGTGATGAGTCATTCGCTTTCATTAACTTTGAAATGAAACACGCAGGGGAGGTAATTGGTTTGCAGATATCTGTTGATAGCTAATATATGTGTCTATATTATGTGCTACATAAAAAAGAAGTATATTTCCACATCAGTGAATTAAGAAACAGAACAAAGATTTGGGCAAAATAAACCAACTGCAGCAGAACATAAATTACTAGATGAAATTGCAAATGAATATCCGAATGGTTTGAGATATATTTGTACAGCACTAACTATGACTCAGCATACTTGATTTAAATCATTTTGAGAAGACTTTCTTGGATATCGTGAGTTCAGTGTGGAGCATTTGCAAAAGCCAGTCAGTATGCCAAAATCACTGAAAAAGCTAACTACTGGTCAGATCAGCATGCACTCAAAATGGTTGCATTAATTTTGTTTATTTGAAAGTCTTGTGGAGCCTTGAGCATAGCTATTATTAAACTCATCTGCCTGTATTTGATGCTCATGGACTACTCCAATCTGAGAAGGTAAGCAACTTTGGATAAATGAAAGGGGTTAGTTGGTAGTGCTGAATCCATTCACAAGATCCAGTTTATTTTCTGCAGTGGAACCAAGGCAATGGAACATTCTGCCAAAGGATGTTTGCCAGACCCCACTACCACTTGCCCTTTGACAAGTAGCTAAGGCACACATTTTCCATTAGGCTTCCCTTTTAAAAAATGCCCTTGCATTTTTATCAACATTGTATTTGTAATGCAGATTTAGTTTAATTTACAAATGTATTAAGTTTTCTATATTATTTTAATTTTTGATTATGCTGTTTGTACTGAGAGCAGGATGGAAATATTGAAAGTAAGCAAGTGGACAAAAGAAGTCTTAAAGCAGTAACAGAACCGGTTTAAAAGCAAAATGAATATGACCACTTTCTGCCTAGACCTAATTATCCAAAGGTGTAATTCAGGACAATTTGCAGCAGAGTGACTACTTAATTGAGGAAGCCCCTCTTAAAAACACTGATCAAATGAACTGGATAAAGCTACTTCTAAATTATGATTTCTGACACTGTGGTTATAAATTATGGTTTGGGGACAGAAATATGTAGAAGGTAGCGATGTAGAAAACACAATCTGGCTAATTTTAGAATATTTAATCACATATCTGCTGTTCATACATTAAAGCATCCGAACAGAGGATTTCCATTTTGTGAAACAGTAATTTTTTTGCTATTAAACCCTCTTTTCTCCCCTCTGTACTTCTGGCTTAAATGAATGTTGTGGGGACACATGTCTGGCTTGGTGAATTTGAGCACTTAGCAATACTAAGACCAGATGCCTACTAAATAGAATGCCAAATAAAAGTGCTGGCATCATCCATGTTTTGGACAAAAGATTGGACGTTGATGATTCCATGGCAACCTGCTCTGCAGGTACTTGGAAAGTACTGCTACAGTCCACAGAACGCGCCACCCTTTCATGAATCCTAAGGAAGGGACATCATCCTAAACCAGCATCAGTTTCCTATAAGTAACAGAACCCTCAAAGGGGCCACTGCTGCTTCTTGCCAGCTGACCTGCTAGTTTCTCTGACCAGAGACAAACACATTGACAAACTAACTGTAAAGCTGTTCTTTCTCTCACACATCTCCATTCCAGGTTTAAGAAACGTCAGTGGATTACCCGTGCCCACTGAGCAAACTCAATTAGCTATCAAACTATACAAAAGCCTAGAAGTGATTGTCTCAATGCTTTACAACAGAACTGCATGACTGAACAATAAAGGGGAAGAGTGCCATCCCAAGTCTAATAAAATGCTCCCCACACAACCTCCTCCACTCCTGTCCTTGAACTTTTGTCATGGCAAAAGTGTCAGTAACACAGGCAAGCCTATAAGCTCTTACTTGCCTTCCTCTGAGGAAGAATCCTGCATCTGTAGGGTCCTTCCACAGACTGAGACATCTAGGACCTGAAACATTTTAAGGCTTATGGTCTAGTAGTACCTTGAAAATACCATGAAACTGTTCCAACTCCAGCTATAGAAAAATAGCCAAGAGAACAAGAGTTTTATGCCATTTTTTGTGTGTATCCCAAAATTCCTGGTGCAAAAATTGTTTGTTGAGACAGGACTCCCCTTTGTAGAAACTTTGCTAATTCTTCTCCAGCAAGACTGGTTCTTCTATATGCTTGATATTTTTATCTTGAACTATGTTTTTCACCCCAACAGACAGTGAGCTTACCCACCCACCTCAATTGCTTAAAAAATAGTACATTGGCTACTTTCCAGTCCTCTGGTATGGAAGCTGATTTTAAAGACAAGTTGCATATTTTTGTTAGGATAGCAACAATTCACCCAATGAATTCTTTAAGAACTCTCTGGGGGATTCTACTCAGTCCCAGTGATTTGTTACTTTTTAATTTGTGAATAAAGCCTTGAACTTCATCTCATGGGACCAATATTTGCCTACATTCAGGAAACCTCCTTCCCAAAAAGGTCAGTTCAGGCCCAGGTATCTGCCATGCATCTTCCACAGCAAACAAAAGATGCAGATATATAAGGTTTCTATCACACACTTGTGCAGCAGTGTGGGGGACACTCAAGCACAGTCAGATTCCTTGTTCCATGGACCACAATGGGACGCATGCATGCAAGCAAGTAATATACAGTAATCCCAACAGGATGTTGATTTCTGAAGACATGTACCCTTCAACATTACTCAGATGAAAATAGGGACATTCTGTTTTACCTCAGGAAGTTTCTCCCACATTTGTATATGACGTATATGTGTGAGGTGAGATCAAACATGGGAAATGTATAAGATCTCCCAATTACCTCTTTACACATGATATATTTTGCCCTGCCTATGAAATGTCATTTAACAGGAAACAGTTGCTGTAATTTGGAAGAATCAGGAAAGGAGAGAGAAAAAGAAAGAAGAAGAAAAAGGGGAAGAGAAGAATGAAAAGAAAGAAAAGGGAAAAGGGGGCAGAGAGAGAAAAAGAAAGTGAAGATGAAAGGAAGGGAAAATGATGAAGAAAGGAAGAAAAGGAAGGAGGACTGGGGAAAGGAAGGGAAGAAGGAAGGAAAAGGGGGAGAAAGGGAGGGGAAAGAGAAAGAAGTGAGAGGGGAAGGAAGAGAAAAAGATTGGAAATGGGGGGGGAGAGGATAAGGACATTTTTGGAAAAGGAGAAAAGAAGAAAGAGAATCAGAATTGGTGACAGGGTTAGAAGAGGAAATATAGGCTGGAAAAAGGTGGGGGGGGGAGAGAAGTGGGCACAGTTATCATGATGGGAAGGTATTTAGCCAAAGAAAGTTAATTGTGAATGGTCCCCCCCCCTCCTTTTAATAACCTAAAAAATGATGGATGAATGAATGAAATGATAAATGGGAGGAATTGTGTTTAAAAGGGGCAGGCTGAAAGAAGGGATGGGGGGCGGCTTAAGAGTGGTGGGGATTTTATTTTATTTTTGCGGGCCAGGGGTAGTATTTCTTATTGGTTCTCCAAGAAGGAGAAGACTCTAAAATATGCAGGGAAAACCTCTGCCTGGCTTCTCCCTTGCCCCCATATGCCTTCCTCTCCATTGCCCTCTTTCTCTTGCCTGGTCACACATTCCTAGGCTCTGTTTACTTAGGGGGCAATGCATGTGCTGAATGGTGGGTGAATGGAGCTGTGTAGCAAAGGGGGGGGGGCTAACATGTGTCATTGTGGTGCAAAAAGCAGAATGGGGAGGAATTGTGGAGGGGGGTAGAATATGAAGGGGAGAGGAGACGGAGGGAAGGATAGAGAGCAGAGGCAGTTCTAGCACCTCAGCAGGGTGGGCTCCTATTTTGAAAGCGCTCTCTCCCTTCTCCTGTCTGCTGGGTGCTGCAGGCTCCAAAAACCACCTTTGTTCACACATGCCCTCCACCACCAGGGTTTGCTCCCCCACACCGGGTCATCTTCTCCTCCTCACAACGTACCCATGGGCAGGGGCAGAAGACAGGAGCCAAACTACTCTTAAAAGGACCTTGGGTAAAATTGCAGCTATGGCAAAGGAAGAAGCCATGATAGCTTAATTGTTTCTGTGGTGGTGCCAGCAAATTCAGGGCAGCTGAAGGGTATGTCATGGGGTTATGTTATTCACATATATATTACTGCATGGAGGGTTCTCACCATGATGAAGCAGTACCCAATATTGCTGTGTGTGTGTCTATGTAAAGGACACCTAAGAAAGTGAGGGTTGTGTGTCTTATCAAGGCCTAACAGGGTGAAACAAGGACTAACTGGCACTCTTAGTGCTGACTTTCGTTTAGTTGTAGAGGGATTAAATTACATTCTTCACTTCAATTTAATGCATTTTAATGTTTATTTCTATATATGCAGGACTCCTTAATTTAGCATAATTATTGAGATGAACTTCAGCTAACATTACAAGAAAATTGTAACTTGTCATAAAACAAGAGGCCCATATTGTAGCTGAGCTGTTAACACACTGAGATACCCTGTTAGAATATCTTAATAATGCAAATAAGTCCTCCTCACTCCCCACTATGATAATGCTTTGGTGGCTTGATTAATTATTATGAAGCCAAATGGCTAACAAAAGAGGGTATAAATAAAAATATCTTCTCATGTCCAATAAAAGAGTGTAAATTTTAACTACGGCGCATGACAGCAAGTGTAAGCAAGAATTATACACAATACAACTCACTGAATGAGTTAATATGCTCAGGGCCTTTGTTGCTAGAAATAGTTTGCTCTGTATTATAATCATCCATTGTAGCTGCACTCAGCTGCAATTTTGGTTTCTCCTTTAAGTGTATTCAATGACATTTCTAGTACAGCGCAGGCTTCCAGTGCTAGTTATGTCTGACATAAAGGGATGGTGTCTGTACAGGTGCACCTAGACACTTCAATCCTCACATTTTTAAGACCCTCTCAGTAGCAGGGGAACCGAGAACGTAAGTAGACTTCCCTTTTGGAAAAGTGCCACAGCGTTCAGGTTTCCACAGTTTTCCATAGATTTAACTTCGGATTCTTCTGTTGAGCCTGAAGTTAACAGAGAGGGTTTGGTAAAAGCAAGGGACAGCCTATGAAACAAGACATTTGGTAGGAAATTTGGGGCAGACAGAAGGAAGTACTTATTCATCCAAAGCGTGATTAATATATGGAATTCATTGCCAAAGGATGGGGTGGTGGCCATGAGCTTTAATGGCTTAATATCTAGTACTAGGCAAACCATTGTTTGTTTAGAATACTTATATCCCACTTCATAGTTCTGAGTGGCTCTCAAAGCAGTGGTGTTGCATCGTTTGCCAGAGCCCAGGGCGTGTGCTCCGGGCAGGGGTGGGTGGGGTGTGGAGGGCAAACATAACCCACAGCACCAGCCAGCCCTTGTTCCTGCCACTGTGGGGACACACACACTGGGCAGGGGCCGGGCGCAGAGCTTTCACAGAGCCCACTGTGTCAGCCCAGCCCTCACTACCACAGCAAAGTAGGGCCACGCTGCACCGTCTGCCCACCTGTGCAGGGAGAAGCCTAGCCAGACGACGCTGGCCTTGGTGGGAAAAACCCTCTGACATTGGCTGGGCAGCCTTTCAACAAGGGGACTGGGGATGCAGCAGCAAGGCCAGGCCCAGAGACTGCCAGTGGCAGACAGGACAGGATGCGGATCCCTGTGGGGGGGGGGCACCTGGTTTGCGCCCCCCTCAAAATCATGAGCCCAGGGCTACGCCCCCCCGGCACCCCCCCACTATGCCCGTGTCTCAAGCAGCTGACCAAATAGTCTCAAAATAAAACCATGCTCAAATCTGGTACAGACCAGTCTAGCTTTGATGGCTTTAAAAATACATGGAGAATATTGGGTAAGTATTTCCAGTGCTTTTTTTTTTTTTACAAAAAAACCCCCACGAGGTGCCAATACTCACATGTTGATAAAAAGTGCCATGAGTAGCACAAAAACAGAGAGGTGAAAGTGCTCCTTACTGGTGAGCACTGTCCCCCAAAAGCACTGGGTCTTTCATGACTTTTTTTCTGTTTAGGATGTTGGGAGCTATAAAAGGAGGCTTTTGATAAGGAGATTAATTCAACACACTTTTGCCTAATGAAGAACAGTTAAAAATATATAATAACCACTTAGTCAACCATTTCCTTTGAGGTTCACTCTCCCACCAGGATGACTCACTAGAATATAAACCCACAGTAGGGGGATCTAACTTGGAGACAAATACAATGAATCATGTGATTTTGACAAACAATTTACTCTGTGGGGATACCCCTAACTCACCACTAGCATTCTTTCATTGAGACCATTTTATTTTTCTTTGCCACAGCAGGGACAATAAATTTCCCTCATTTTTACACCAAAACAACCTTGCCAGTCCTAGTGAGAGAAGAATATGGCCCTAGGAGAGGGAAAGGATGTCATCACTCTTGAGATCCTAAATAGATGTGCTGCTGGTTAAAACCATGTGTATGTATATTTTCTTTTATGTTATTTTGATTTTGAATTCAAATGGATCACAAATGATTTGCGGGGGGGGCAAGGGGGAGGTCAAGGGGGGAGAAAGTAAAGAATTCAGAGGTTAAGAACAAAGGATTGGCTTTCATTCATTCAGCTCAGTAGGTTGTTGCCCCCAGCAGGTGGGTTCAATTTGTTTCACTGTCACATCAAAATTTTACAAGTCAATACATTCTGAAGTTTCATTGAAAACCAGAAATTAACATGATGCATAAGCAGCTTCCTTTATATTTGCCACATTTTAGTCATTTAACACTTGCATCACTAGACTGTGATAAAATGTACTTCTGTTTTCATCTGGGAGGTGGAGCAAGGCCTGGATTTTATCCCCTCTGGTTCCTTTACTGCCCCAAAGTTGACCAGTACGACTGCTGCTTATCTGACAGGCCTATGTGTGCACCCAACTTGATTGGCGCCACATACACAACAGAGAGGTTTCCTTCCCAGTGCCCTTGTTGTCAAAGAGATCCATGTACTCTTGTAACCAGTGGTGTTTGCGGTGGGGTGGAGGGGCAAGGAAACACAAGCCCCCTCTAATTCTAAATGCATTTTTTTATTTTCATGTGCATCGATACACACATATCTAGCTAGTCAACAAGAGGTTTAGAATGACCTCTGAAACCACTCCTATTGACAGTGGCTGCCAGGCTTGGGTTCTCTGCACTTTCTGCAAGAGAGCCATCCCAGGCCAGTAGACAGCTTAGATGAATGCTACTTGTTCTGATCTAATGCTGCCGCTTCTGCAAATGTTACAAGATTTGGAAGGCCTAAAAACACAGTTATAAACAAAGGAGTTCTGGTGCCTTTTTATGATCTGGTGAGGAGCTTGGGAGTGCTGCTGGACACAGCCCTGCTTTTTGAAGGGCAGATGGGGGTGGTAGTAGCCAGGAATAGAAACCAAAGGTGTCCATCAAGGCTCTTGGGAAATGGGTTGCAAAAATCCTTTACTTGGGAAAGAGACACTAAGTGCTATGGTGCCTTTGATTGCCATTACTGCATTTTATTTTCCCAGCCAGTAGTATGAGAGGTACAGGACACATTCATTACAAAGCTTGTACAGTGGTACCTCGGGTTAAGTACTTAATTCGTTTCGGAGGTCCATTCTTAACCTGAAACTGTTCTTAACCTGAAGCACCACTTTAGCTAATGGGGCCTCCCGCTGCTGCCGTGCCACCAGAGCATGATTTCTGTTCTCATCCTGAAGCAAAGTTCTTAACTCAAGGTACTATTTCTGGGTTAGTGGAGTCTGTAACCTGAAGCGTATGTAACCTGAAGCATATGTAACCCGAGGTACCACTGTACTAGGTACAAAGACTTCAATTAAGTTTCAAGAGAGCACTCACATATTGGGTGACATAGTGGTTCTCATGAAGAGGCTTCTAACTTCCTTTCTGTCACGAACAGGAAAAAGGTGTCAGTTGAACAGCGACTGAAAAAGCCACATGCAAATTCTATAGAGGAAAATGGAACAGAATCCGTACTATGTGAAATATAGTGGACTAAAGAAAAAATACAAAAATATCTGTGTGTTTGCAGAAAATCACATAAGCATTGTCTCCCAATGCAAGCAATCAGCAGGATAAAGCAACACGGACAACAACTTTTATTGTTTGTCTTGTGATAATAAACAGATATTATTCACTGCTAGAGCCAGACACCAAAGCTCTGCAGTCTGTGAAATTAGATGTACTGAAAATGAAAGCACATATACAAGAGTTACTGGGGATAATGGAACAACACAGGAAAACTAGTGAGGAAGCTTTTAGCAAAATAATAAAGAAGTGCAATTGGCAGATGAAGTTGATGTGGAACTTATAGCACCTAGACAAACCATACAAGAGAAAAACTATGCCACTCATCACAACCAATCTGCACAAGAGCTCTGCGGGACACAACTCTCACATCTAACCTGCGGGACACAACTCTCACATCTAAATCGACTTTGCTGCTCCTGTTTCCACACACACACCCGTGCCATCCCTGCCCCAAATACACATACTGGAGGGATGCAGTTTGGTGATGCTCATGTGTCTTCTTTGTAATGTGTGTTTGGTTCTCATATAATTCTTTCATTCTAAATATAGTTAACATTTAAAATTGTTATAGAAGGCAAGCAGCAGTAATCATCTTCTTTGCCCTAATGCCTCTCTAATTGGCAGATTGGAGTGCATATATGCATCAAAAAAAAGGCTAGATAAAAACCCAGAACCAAGTAGCACAAATGTTGAAACTATGAGAGTAAAACCAAACACACAAATCTAGGAATACCATACAAAATGGATTGAGGGAACAGGATCCCCCCCCCCGCTCCAACCTAATAAAATATCCTTCATAAACTGCTGATAGTCTATGGTTAATGAAGTAGATGCTGAAAGCTGACCAGTGTATTGGAAATGAATACAGGGGGAAAGAAATTATTATACACAAAATTGGCAGAACAGAACAGTGTGTCTATTAAGCAAAAGGAAATAGGGTGTAGCTGAATATTTTCTCTGACCAGCTGGTGAGAACAGACAGGGAGCAAAAGAAAACTGTAAAATGTAAAGCAAAACAAAAAAGAGACAGACATGATGGATGTCCTGCGGAGAACTAAATAAACAAAACTGCTGATATTATACAAGTTCAGGATGTTGTAATTATCATTATTTTGCAAAGCAATGATTGGTCAAGATCATTTATCAGATATTGTTGGTGGAATGCAAAAGTCCTTTACCAGTTACTTCATGAATGGTATAGTGAAATATTCATATATTATTTTTCTAAAATGCAAAGTTTCTTGGTTTTTATTTTTTCCATAACAGTACAAAGAAGGAAAAAGAAAACATATCAGCAAAGGATGTCAATTCACAATACCATTTTGAAAATCAGGCACATGTGGTCAAAACCAAGTATTAAAAAGAAGGAAAAGGTGAAGGGTGGGTTGGATAGGCAAGGGGGACGTAGGGCTTTGGCAGAGCCCATATGGCATGTATACCACACAAATAGTTCAAAATAGGGGTCTTAGATCTCAAAAAAGTTATGCTCTTTGCACTTGCAGGCAAACATAGATTTTTTCATATGCTGCAAGAGATGAAAGGTCCTCCAACCAACAAGCTATCAGAGGAGCCTCGTCCAGTCCTTCTAATGCAGTAAAACTAGCCACAATCAGCAAGAATGTGTAAGTGGTTTTCCTGTCCAAATGAATTGTTGAGTTTTGCTCCCATCTTTCTCTCTGCTGCTATAAAGGGTAGCACTGAGACTAAGATGGAGAATCTGACAGATGTTGATGGCAGACTGAAGTTGCTGGGGCAGTGACCCTTTCACCAAAACAGACCAGCCTCCATTCCTGTCATGGGATATTTATATACAGAAACAAGATTTGGGGATAAATGTTATTTTTTACTTCCAATATCCTTCCATGGGGTCACGAAGAGTTGGACACGACTAAATGACTAAACAACAATCCTTCCTATTTAGGAAAACGGGAATGAACTCCAAAACCTAAACTCTGTTCAATATTCTTGAATAATTATTCATGATTGTCAGTTATATATATATAATCCAGTGTAAGCCAAATTCCAAGATACTTTATAGATTTTGCCAGCAAATGTATTTTTGTTATTTGGAACCAATTGTTTCTTCATGTTTTCTTGTAGCTTTACTCCCAGCATTCAGATTTACTACAGTTGATTTTATAACCCATATTTGTGCAGTGTTTTAATGAATTTTCATATGATTTTTTTATATTTACTGTAAGTCACTGTTACGGGGCAGCATATAAATGTTATTGATAAAGAAACAATAAATGTTCAAGTGAAACTTCATTTAAAATATTTTTTAAAAGAAAATAGATCACGGTGGTGGAAACAAATGAAAAAGTTTATTTCTCAACCATGGCTGCACATCACCACTAGAGGGTGCTCCCAGGGGGAATGTAACATTGCTGATCCAGCATTTTTTTCCTCAGCCCAAACTGAAAGCAGAAAAGAGCACAGACGCATTTAGCAAAAAAAGTCAACAGGTTACTGGCCACTAGAGGGAGACTTCACTGACTCTGGGAAATTGGGGACATTGATGAGAGACAATTCTGGGGTTGAGCCATTTATTCAGTCATTAATGTATATGTGGCAGGAATTGTACTCTGGATTTGGAGGACTGAAGACATCTAGCAAATCTACCTGGAGGTTTTTCAAAGATTTGCAGAGGTATATACTTTGCAGAAGTCCCAGAAAATATATATAAAGAAGTAGGAAGGCACTTTTAAAAAGCCACCAAGCTCTAAGATAGCCAATGGGAGAAAATGAATTCATAAAGAGCAGAGAAAACAATAAGTGTGCTTTGAAAACCTGAAACTAATGCACAATATTAAGTACTAAAGGTAAAGGTAAAGGTACCCCTGCCCGTACGGGCCAGTCGTGTCCGACTCTGGGGTTGCGCGCCCATCTCGCTTAAGAGGCCGGGGGCCAGCGCTGTCCGAAGACACTTCCGGGTCACGTGGCCAACGTGACAAGCTGCATCTGGCTAGCCAGCGCAGCACACGGAAACACCGTTTACCTTCCCGCTAGTAAGCGGTCCCTATTTATCTACTTGCATCCAGGAGTGCTTTCGAACTGCTAGGTTGGCAGGCGCTGGGACCAAGCAACGGGAGCGCACCCCGCTGCGGGGATTCGAACCGCCGACATGACGATTGTCAAGTCCTAGGCGCTGAGGTTTTACCCACAGCGCCACCCACGTCCCTATATTAAGTACTAGGGTTGCCGAATTTCAAAAAGCAAAATATCAGGACACCCCAAAAGTTGTTTTTACAAATGCAATTTTTTGATTGACTTGCCTAAGATCCAGGACAAAACACACCACCTTTTGGAAATCCCCCCGGACGTCAGTCCTCCTTTGAAATCCCAGTAATGTTCCAGGAAATTCCAGACCTATGGCAGCCCTACTAAGAACAGAAGAGAGTTCTAAAAAATGCTATGAAAGTAGGTTGCAGGATTCACAACTGTACAGAAAGGAGGACCAGATTAAAATGGCTCAGTGGGAATACTTAATGGAATATTTCAGAGCATATAACACAATTTCAAAAATGTGCCCATGGGGAATGTTTTCTTTGCAGGGTTGCCAACTTGGATGAAATATTGCAGGGGCCCAGGTAACTCCCGCCTCGCATAATCGATCACATGACACAGTGCACACACACCATTTGAATGGCATTGCTCATGAACTTTGTGGGGGCCTGGCCCCTGCAAATGTTTTATTGTGGGGGCCGAAGCCCCCACAACCCCTAGGAGTTGGCTCCTATGTTTCTTTGTATTGTACAACCTATTCTATAACTAAGTCTGTTATATTGCTCTCCCTCAGCACAGGCATCACTTGCCATCTGTCTCACAAGTCACAAAACCGTTTTATACCAATTCAAGCATTCTCCATTCGCCAACTTTCTGCCACCAATATCACAATTCTTTAGGCGGAGTTAAGCAAAGGAAACTTCATTGATCCACACTGGTCAGATGCCTTCCCCAGGTTTTGCCTCTGAACATGAAAGATCAATTTCTTGAACCCTCCCTTTAAGACCCTCTAAAATCATTTCTATAGTCCTATCTTAAGAAGCTATGTGGAAGTTATTTTATTTGGAAGACCATTTTCAGAAGTTGAAATCAGTTACAAAAGCATGAACATCTTTCCTCTCCCAGATAATCTATTTTGTGGTTCCTTTTGAGCACTTTTATGCGCTTTAGAGAATGTGCACAAGCTAAATGAAACAACTGGGTTAAATCTCTATAACAGATGCCTACAACAGCAGTAGTTTTTGAAACTGACCTAAAACTTCACATCTTTATGACACTTCAGTCATGGATGCAATTCCTCTGTCCTTCAAATGCAACATGCCCATTATTACACAGGAAAATTTGTTGGAAACTGAACTCATACCCCCAAATCATCTTGACTATGTGTGTTTGTTAAGACTATACATACAGAATCTATTCCCTAGATTCCCAGAACCAAGATGTTTTGATTGGGAAGTGAAGTTACTTGTCAACAACATTTATAATTTGACTTTACAAAGCGCAGCTCTGTAACGTGTGTTATTTGACCAAAGGAATCTGCAGGCTCTAATCTAGCTTGTTAGTAGTTTGAAAAGTGTGGTTTGCATGAAGCTGCATGAATCAAAATGAATTATGAATCTGAAAATTGGCAATTATGTTGCATCACACAGCTCAGAGCACAATGATAAACCACAATCCAGATTTTTCAGTTTAAATGGTTTTACATTCATGCAAGCAAATTAACCATAAAATGGTTGGGGGGGGGGGGGAGAGAAAAACAAAATATCCCAAGAAAGAATAAACTGCAGATAATAAGCACCAATCTGGTGTTGAATGCTGCCCAAGATACCAATTGTTTTAAGTCATGACAAAGACAGCTGAATGCTCATCTTGTGGATATAGAGCATGGATGATTGCTTGCCATGAGTATCTTCTCTCACAAATAACAGTTTTTTCGCTCTTAATTTTCTGCTAAATTGGAAGCTAACTGCTTCCCACATTGTCATTGGAACACCTGCAGCTGTGCTGGATTTCTGCGCACCATTTCTTTTAGGTAAAACAGCACTCCACTTTCCTTCAGTTCCTCATTATGCTTATGTCTTCCTTTCATTGCGCTACAGCACTAATGATTCAGGCAGGCTGGTCAGTCATTAAGTGACAAGCAAATGATACCGTATGCAACGTGTGACTAATCGGTCTGAACAAATGAAATCACAGACTTGCTTTTCCCATCATTCATTTCCCAAACAGTAGCAATGTGGTGCACAGCAGGTAGTTCAGTTAAAACCAGCCTTGTAAAACAAATTTCCTGCAGCCGTTTTAAGTGCACGCGCTGTGATGGGTTTGAGATGCTGCAGTTAGGAGTCTGTGCCCAAGGGAATGAAGAAAGGTTTGGGGTGGAAGCAAAATAGGGATGCAGGGGAGAAGGAGGAGGAATCCTCAGTACATACATTACTGTAATTAAGGGTTTAGTATCTTATTGATGTGGTTTCTGTTTGGATAGCTCTCAGAAATGACTGTTGCATTAGCAAACCCCAAACATAAAGCACTTATCATGGAATGAGCAAGGAGAAAAGGGAACACTTGTTTCAACCAAATTTTCAAAGATGCATGTTTAATATAATCTAAAACCAAAAATATTTACTATATGCAAAGCGTGACACCATTTTTAAAAAGCAGGAGAAATAAGCGCATGGAAAAATCTAAAAGCTGGCCATAATTCTACAGTATTTTATATGGTTTGGAAGCATTTAATATTTTCTTATGAAGATTTTTAAAGTGACAATATATTTGTTAGTTATGTTTGTCAACATCAGACTGATTTGCACAAAATTTACCAGTCATAACTGAAATTAGAATATTGTTACAGGGATCAATTGGAACAAAATGTCCTATACAGTGGTGCCCCGCAAGACGAATGCCTCGCAAGACGGAAAACCCGCTAGACGAAAGGGTTTTCCGTTTTGGAGGTGCTTCGCAAAACGAATTTCCTATGTGCTTGCTTCGCAAGACGAAAATGTCTTGCGAGTTCCTGCGGGGTTTTTTCCCTTTCTCCCCCCTTTTTCCCAAGCCGCTAAACCGCTTATCAGCTGATGGCTAAGCCGCTTATCAGCTGATCTTTAAGCCACTTATCAGCTGATCTTTAAGCCGCTTAACAGCTGATGCTAAGCCGCTTATCAGCTGATGGCTAAGCCGCTTATCAGCTGATCTTTAAGCCGCTTAACAGCTGATGCTAAGCCACTTATCAGCTGATCTTTAAGCCGCTTAACAGCTGATGCTAAGCCGCTTATCAGCAGATCGTTAAGCCGCTTATCAGCTGATCTTTAAGCCGGCTAAGCCGCTAATACTGTAGCGCTAAGCCGCTAAACCTCTAATGGGCTTGCTTCGCAAGACGAAAAAACCCGCAAGACGAAGAGACTCGCGGAACGGATTCTTTTCGTCTTGCGAGGCACCACTGTATTTGGGACATTTGGCTGAAATGTCCAAATGTTCACCTTCACACTTTCAGTTATCCCATTTTTTGATCTGGTTTTGCCTACACTACCCTATTCCAGGTGGTGAATTTTTACGCAGTGCCTTCCTGAGAATGATCAGGCAAAATGAGACCACATCACCTCTATTCCCAGGGCGGTGCACTGGTTGTGAGCTACCAGGCCAAATTCAATGTGTTACAGTATAGAAAACCATTAAATGACTTCAGGGTCAAGTACTTCTAAGAGCAACAAATTTGAAACAATAAATGAACAAAAGTTATGACGTGAATGCTGCTTTACATGACATTAACTATTGTAGGGAGAGAGCTGTCTGTGTTCATTGGTTCATAATGTGGACTTGGTAACCTTTTTTGGTCAGGGATGCTTGTTGCAGTGTGAGAAAATCATAATGTGTGCCCTGTTCCAGCTTTTGTGGGGGCAGGTTGGACTACAAACCTGCAGTCCGTTCCAGTCTTATGCGTCTATCAAGCCCAGCCATTAAGATCTGAGAATTGGTTTAGATCCAAGATTCCAGATATTTCCACAAATGATGTGGCTGTATCTACATTATTAAATGATGTGTATACACTACCAATATATACTGGTTTTATTATATCACTTCAAGTCTTCCCCCAACGGATCGGGCAGTTGTAGTTTGGTGAGGTACTGACAACTATTTGCTAAAGATTTCTTATAACATTTGCTGCTGCAAACAATAAAATGATGTCACAGAAATGTGGAGCAAACAAACCTTACTAGAACTTGGCTCAAAATTGCAGCAGCTTCCCCTAGGTTCAGTTTTTGCCTGTTTTCAGAATGCTTTCCTCCATGCACCCATTCATCAAATACTCTAGTTCTAAGTATCATCACATCTCCCATGAAATGAAATATTACTCTAGCAGATTTTCCTCTTTCTCTTTTGATATAGTGATAGGTGTCTTACAGAACATACCTAATCAGAAGTTAGCCCAAAATGAGTTCAAATGAGAATTTATTTAGGGGCACTTTGCGGTGGAACCAATTCATTAGTTCTGTAAATACACTATTGCTTGTCTGTGTTTGGTGCAAGTATATCTGGGTTTTCTGTTGCTATATACAGTACATCAATGGGGTACAATGTTCAGTACTTGGCAGATTTCTTCTATGGCTCCTGTAAACAGCCGCATCATTATTTTGAACCAAACACAATCTTGGCATCATACTGTTGTTCATTTTGTAGATATTTTGCAGATTTTCACAATTAATTTTTATAGATGGCAACTGGTTATTTTTCATATTTTGCAGAGCACAAAACATGTATGTTGGTCCACTAGGAAAAACATACACCAAAAATGGCAGTATTTAAGTAAAGAAGTTACCCTACTGTTACTTGGAGGTGGGGGGCATATTTCTGCTGCTTGACATATGGTACCTGATTGTGCACCAGGTCTTTTAACCTTCCCAAATACAGAGCTTCTTAAACCCTTATTTTACCTATTCCCTATTATTCTTATATGTGGTATTAAGCACTTCTTCCTTTTTACATCTTTTGAAACTATTGATCTGTTAAGTTTAACAACTACCTACTGTAGATAAATCCATGAAGAGAACTTTTTCCACAGGGAGATCTGCCTCACATCTTCTTTATTATTGTTTAGATGTCAGGTGATTTTGGGCTGTGATATTCAAACTTATTTCTTTTTTAAAAATCGGATAAGAAAAACAAATAAGAATAGAAAACATCCAAAAATCTGTCGAAGCTTTGGGATTCCAGTAGCTAATTCAAGTACATCTTTTCCCTTTATCTCAAACTTTTTAGTGCAGCAGGGCTTGTTGCACTGTCATGATAGTCCTTTCTATATGCACTTGAGTTGTGACATCCTTTTGTTTAAATATAATAACCATTTCCATCTAAATGCCCAGCCATCAATCTGTCCCCACACTGCCCTCCCTCATAACATTCATCAGTGCTCTCCTAACTGTCACTTCTAACTGCTATCACCTGTTTCTCCTCAACATTCCCAAAGGGAGTTCCCGCCAATTCCTTGCCTATCAAACAAAAGATTCTAAATTACCTCAAACCATTTGCCAGTTTGTAATCACTCAAATAACAGTTATACAAAAATACACAGCCCTGCATCATATAGATAAATAACTATATAATTATTCTATCCTTCATATACATATTTTTAAAGCCACCCATAGTTCAGTTTGTCACAGAGTTCAACTCTGAAGCATACAACAAGCAGAAGATTCATCTCAACAGGTGTAGAGAATCCACTTCCCTCATAACTGAGGGTTGTGTCCAACTCAGAGGAGACCCACTGAAATGAATGGACTTAAGTCAGTCATGTCCATTCATTCCAGGCCTCTTTATCCAGTCATTAGGATTCTCCTCAGATCACAAAGGTGCTGAGGTCCCTTTGGGGTCACGAATAAAATATTTGCGGGCGACGGGAGCCCCTAAAGTTGATGGGCATTGCTGATGGGTACACCCCGTCATATGATCAATTATGCAGGGCAGGGGCCCCCAATATTTTATTCAAGTTGGCACCTCTGACCCTCTTAGAGTGCTTTTGCTGGGCTGCAATATGTCCTTGGACTTTCATAATGCTTCTTGCTTGCCCATATGGAGGCAGAACCATAGCTAGGTGATCTTGCGCCCCTGGCAGAACCGTCCAGATTGCTCCCCCTAGCCATCTATTCAATTCACCCTCTATTTAAAACTATTTCTTATGAAACAACGATCAATATTTATATTTATGGACATATTTTTAGCTGATTTTGCGGGGGGGGGGCAATAGCCTGCAACTCCAGTGGGGGCCCATCTTGCCACCCCATAGCTATGGCCCTGTATGGAGGTGTGCATGGGTACAAACCTCTGACTTTTGCATGGCAGGAATTTAACCTGCTGCACAAATAAGAGCTGCAGTTGTTCTGCACACTTTTGTCTCTGGCTTCCTTCACACAAAAAGGCAACTGACCTAAAAGTAAAAAGTTGTGTCCATTTATTATGGCTGCTTATCAACCCTATGTACCACATAGGTGGTACCTAACCTTTGAGGGGCTGCTACCTTTTCATGTGTACTACTAACCTCAAGAATAACATAGAATAATGCCATCTTCTCAATTATTTTCATTCATGATCCATCTGTGACGAAATAGAGACACACTTTTAGCAGATGAGATGAGCAAACTCATTTGCACATGCAGAGACTTAAGTGCCATATTTTTCACTCTATAAGACGCACCAGACCACAAGAAGCACCTAGTTTTTGGAGGAGGAAAACAAGAAAAAAAATATTCTGAATCTCAGAAGCCAGAACAGCAAAAGGGATCGCTGCGCAGTGAAAGCAGCAATCCCTCTTGCTGCTCTGGCTTCTGGGATAGCTGCGCAGCCTGCATTCGCTCCATAAGACGCACACACATTTCCCCTTACTTTTTAGGAGGGAAAAAGTGAGTCTTATAGAGCAAAAAATACGGTAAGTCATAGCACCTTGTTACCTCAGACTAAAAGGATGAATGTATGATTCAAATATCACACCATTCAGCTTAAATTTAAGGAGTTAGTCTATACTGATTTCATTCCCAAATACTTTTATCAATCAACTGTCAAAAGACAGGAACAGAGGCGAATGTATGCATTATATTACACAGGGGGGGGAAATCAGGTGTGGGACAAAACAGTAACTGACTTCAGAGTGTGACAATTTTCACATTAATGCTGTCCCAGCAGTTTAATTAAATTCAGTATGTTATTGTAAGCCCTCAGTTTCTGTCTATGACAATATATATTAAACATTTTATATGCAGGCAATATAATGTTGACTTATGAATGATTGTATTATTATTTTACCTTTTCCACCAAGAAGTAAATTAACCCCAGCAATTTTAGTACAAGAAATAATAAATGTGTAGAGTTTAACTTGTTTTCAAGGGGGAACCTTCACTCACAACAGTTTATGTACAAGTCTGATTTATGCGGCGTGAACATTCAGGCACTTTTATTTGCTTTCATACCTTTTATAGCAAATTGCACAGTGCTTTGAAATACAAAGTGGAAACTAAAGCTTTTGTGTACCAAATGCTATGCAAGAGATTTAATAGACAACTTTTGCATAAATATGCAGCACTTCCTACAAAATCCTGGAAAGCATTCTTTATTCAGATAAAACAACTACTGTCAACAACAGTGGGGAGTGTACTGTGTAAGTTTAATTATATTTATTGATTTTAAACAATAAAGAAGGCTAGCTGAATGTCTGCCATAACTGCAAAGCTGCCTGGTATCCAGTTATGGAACAATTCACAAAAATGAAAGAAAGAAAGGGGGGGGAGAGATTGTCTGAAGACACCTCTTCTATATGCTCTTCTCTATGGAAAATGTACCCCCTCACCCCTTCCCCAAGCCACTTCTGGCTCTCCTTGAATTTGACACCCTTTAATTAACACTTTTTTTGGTTGGCAGTGTATACTGTAGGTTGCTTGCGTGACTGGATTCCTACCCCTGCAGCGCTATTAGGCACCCCGTGGAGCACAAACAAAAAGCCCCAGAGAGCCCGACCCAACTATTTTCCTATGAATAGAACACCCTTTCTTTATCAGGATGAAAAGGAGATGCGAGTTCGCCTGGGCTGTGTATCTGGGGGAGGGGAAATGGAGGGCTGCTATACATAGATAAATAATTAGTGTGCACCTGTTTGAGGCAATATTTGCTAATATACTAAAGTGTGTGTGCATGTGTGTGTGGCTAAAGGGACTGACAGCAACAACGTTTTGAGTTGGCATACAGAATGCATACAGATGATAAATTCATAGCTACTGTTATGAATAACTCTGATCAGAATGACCCTTCCCATACATCTAAAACCACTTGCACTTTTCAAGAATAAATGGCAAATACCAAGGAAGTGGGGCAGTCAGTAACTACTTAGAATAAAATAAGAATGTGCAAGGGTATTTTCTGCTATAGACCAAGCTTAGTCCCTGCCAACACCCTTTCTTAAAACTGCTGCCCCTATTTATTTTACAGAGAAATAGAACCCCCCCCCCTTTAGATGCTACGTGAATGCACGGGGAGAATGGTGTTGCACATAACCTTCTCTACACATTTTAATAAGGTCTGAAAAGAGAACCTATGTGTATAATTGCGCACAGGGTACATAGACCTCGCTCCATGTGACTAAAATGCCCAAACAACAGGGGTTCCAATCATGCAGAAAACCTTACAGTTGTATGTCCAAGCGGCTCTTTTTAGAAAGCTTGTCTACATGTAGGGAAAATGGAATCCTGAGGTAGCAGAGTGGATGGTACTGCTTCAGACTACTGATGGGAGATCACTTTTTTTAAAACATTCCTCCATGTAAACTCCCCTGTAAGCTAAAAAAGAATTAGTAGTACATCAGGAAGAAGGTTCTAGCCCAGATTTGCTCCCTGCTGTGCTTGTTTTCTACTTTAAGGAACTGTGTTCTTTTTTTTTTGCTTTTGTTTTTACATAAAGGAATTTTCACTTACAATTTCTGGAGTTCAAAGGCCTTATTCATGCATGAACTATTTGTAGGATGAGTGGAGATGAGAGAGAGAGAGTGGAAAAAATCAGACATTTTGTTTGTCTCAAGTTGAGAAAGAGCAATAAAACAAAATGGCTCAGCATTTATGGATGAAGTTAACTTAGGCAGAGAAGCTACAAACAGAAGGTGGCTAGATCACTAGACAAAGAGTGCCCTCATGTGGTTTAAAGTAACAAGTGTATCAAATGCAAACTCAAGAGAAGGAAAAGTATTTGCTTTTCTCTAACAATATATGGGTTCATGTCATCTTTAGGCATGGGACTAAAATTGCATGTGCTTTGCTCCTTCCCCTCTCCCTCCTCCTGAGCTGCTGGGAGCTGAGTCTTGGTTTGCTTTAGTGTTACGTCTGGGTTCATGGTTTGTTTCCCCCCAAAAAAAAAAACTTCAAAAAAGAAAAATCTCTATGTCTTGGTGTTCATGTGCCAACCAAAATATGCACAAATACAACATGCACTCATTCAAAAATATAGCAGCACAATCCTATACAGGTTTTCTCAGAAGTAACTCCCACTGAGTTCAATGAGATCTTTGCATGCATGGAATTGCAGGCTAAACTTCCAAAGGCTCTGTGAAGGAAGCCAATACACCCTGATGAATGACAATGTTAGCAACTCTCACTAACAAAAATTTAACACAGCTTCTACAAAATAGGGACAAAATCGGGGACATGGATTTACAAGTGACCATAAAAGAGGGACAGCATATGCCATAATTGTGGTAGAACCTCTAGCTTTCCAGGGTCGCAATGTCAAAAGCAGCTACTCTTACATTCTGGAGGGTTCAATATAGTTGAGCTGAAGCTTTCTTTTCCGCTCAATAGGTTCTTTCATGCTTTCTGCGCCAACTGGAGGTATGTTTTACAGTCAAGTTAGTTCCTATTTATATTTCCTGCAGGAAGGCTATTTACTTTTTAAATAACAACAAAGTGGCAGGCATCCATTATGAAAGGAATGGAATTTGTAGGGCATAAAAAGTGGCAAAATGAAAGGCTGCATTCTGGCTCCGCATCTGCTACTTGTACGATTACAAAAAGATTTGATGGTTCCGAGTTTTTTCCCTCCCTCAATGAATACTCAAACCCTAGAGGAGTGGCAACCTAGAAAAATGAAAACAGCTCCCTAGAAGCCACAGCCACTGGAATCTAGATGCCTTGAGGGTGGTTTTTGCTGGTCCACCCAGTTGATAACATAATAGTGCTGCCACACACTTCAGAATCAAGCCAGCAATCTCTTGTCAGCTGAGCTGTACAAATAACTTTGCTTCCTTTTACTGCTGTTTTAAGTAGCTAGAATAAGAAAGAATAATTAAAAACTACTACTTTAGCACTCATTGAAAAGTGAAAGATTAAAAGCTGCCTTGGCAGTCGACAAGTGCTGCTGAAAGA